TGGATATCTCCCACAAAATGTACTGTATTGAAGAATGAGATGTTGTGATTGACAAAAAGACCTTCTGATACATCAATCAAAGAATGAAGATTACAGTGAGTTTCAAAATTTACTAACTAAAAATGATGACATTGATAACTGTACAAGTGATTTACCATCAATTTGGTGACCACAGCTGTCTTGATTAACCAACCATAAGTAGCCATTTTGACGTCTGGTACCAAAAGCACAAGCATAAAATGTGTGGTTATCATGCCAAATCTAATTGTAATATATTTAGACTCCTTGTGAGAAGGGCTTTCTTTTAATATATAACAAGGTATGGTTAATGAAAAAAGAAATATTTTCGTGAGATTATTTTGATTGTTTTAAGGACAATGGTGGCCATTTTGAAATTGGCGGCCATTTTGAAAATGACACAAGGCATGATATTTGGATATTTGGAATCCCTGTGAGATGAGCTTTCATTTGATATATCACATGGCATAATTATTTACAAAACATCTGTTTGCATAATCATTTTAATGATTTTGGCGGCCATCTTGAAATTGGCGGCCATTTTGAAAATGCCACAAGGTAGAATTTGCAGAACTTTGTATCTTGTACATGGCAATGATGTTCTGAAGCTTTCCTGAAAAATTCAGCTTTCTACTATTTTTTTTTCAATGTTACCTATTGTTTCTGTCTAATGCTCCTGGCCTATGACAGGCATTAGCATTTAGCTCAATGTTTGTGCAATATATCTGTATTGTATTACAGCAATGGCTCGCAGCATCCATGTCAGTGATGAACTTATAACGTGCGGCATGGAGATCCACTTTTCCACAGTTAGTTCAAGAACCCAGACAGACAGATACACAGATTTTTATTTGTGGCTCACCTTGAGCAGACAGTATTTACATATGATGGATACAATGTAGAAAAAGGTAATGCACATATCATTCCAATATGAATTACGAGAGACTTATACATACATATGTTTTCACATACAAATACCCAATACAATGTTGTTAAGAAGCAGTAGGTTTTACGAGGCATACCATTTCTATAAAACACACTTACGTCGTTGAAGAATACTAAGACAGGTTTTGGCAAACGATAAGATCAGTTCATTTTGAATAAAAAGCTCTGAATACCTCTCTGTATCTGACAACATTATGACATCAAACGCATTGCATGCGTTAGCAGCTCCAATTAAAAAGGTCCTTTTCCGATCATCATACATAGGACACTTAATATATATCTACCTCATATACCTTATGAGACACAATCTTCAACGACAATATTTTACATCGCCCAGTTTCAAGACTGATTGCTGCTACACCACATCTAAATTTTGCAACAGCACTTCTGTTGTTTCCTGGCATATTCGAGATTGCACATTGTTCGGTACCATGTTCTCAGTTTTCAACTGTTATCACTTATCCCGTCCTTCCACGCTACCTTGTGTTTTGTGTGCAGAGTGTCTTTACTTTTGTTGACCATATCTGGGATTACTGAGCTGATGTCACAGTTGCATTTTCTGAAAAACTTGTGAACTTTGATATTCCAGTTTCTGCACGCTAATGAAGCACATTTTTCAGCCCACGTGAATATTTTTCTGTTTAAACATGATCTGTCCATCAACACACACCTCTGCCAATGCCGAACAGCTGCAATTTTCTGTTCTATACTGACGTGTACCCATCAAAGGTCACCATCTGTACGGGTGTATCTTCCGACTCCGAGGAAGTAACTGCAGACATGGTTCTGAACTGCGTTGATACTTGAGCAGTCCTGTAAACACCATATAGACGAGCAATATGGAATCACTGGTAGCACAATATTGTCATATAGCTTTTTGAACACATTAAAATCCCCACCACCGAGTAGCTTACTCTTTGCTATTACTAGTCCATGTGCCCTGCATGCCAACTGGGCCGCGTATTTCACGGTATTACTATAGTCTAGAATTACTTTGAGTCATTGGCATAGATGGGTTTCGAAAGTGTACACTCTTCGATTTTTCTGAATTGATCCGAAGCTTATTACTTGAACACCAGTTGTTTAGATGGTCTAGCATGCTCTGAAGGTTAGTTTCTCAGAGACCTAGAGAAGTATGCCGCCTGCATACATGAAAACACCTGTAGTTTCATCTTCATATCGACCGCCTACGAAGTCCTACACTCTTCATAGTCACAGCCAGGTCATTGATGAAAATGTTGAAAAGTAGAGGAGATAAGAGACATCCCTGCTTACCACCACTGTTTACTTGAACCAGTCAGTCTTCAAACCTGTACACGTACACAATTACACACATTTCTTTATATAGCGTGCACGACATGATGCATTTTACCTTGCAATCCTAGATTTTCAAGTTTAAGTCCAAGAATAGCAGACAGAGTCTACAGTCGCAGGCTTTCTTAATGCTATGAAAGCACACGTGGAGAGTTTCTTCTTCTTTCTGACATCTACATTACTGGATCTTTTCCTTCAGCTACTGCCTTGTGTACGTAGGCACATGCTTGTCTAACACTTCAACCCCACCAAGTATATATAGATATATATGTTTTCTCAAATTCCTCTATTGATAAAAAAAGCCATGTTTGTTGTTTGCAGGTTCACCAAATCAATCAATTCAGTTATACATACATTTTGAATTGGATGCTCACTTTCCTTGTTTCCCTTGCTGGTTTGGTGAGTGAGGCGTTAAACCAACCAACCAACCCTAGTGTCCTGTCATCGAAAACATGTCATTTGTATATTAAATATATACATGAGGCTTTATCTATTAGGAATGCATTGCTGTAGAACTTAGTTTACAATTGGTGTACAAATAAATCAGACTAACAAATAAAAACAGTTCCTTGAAATGAAATTTGTACTAAAACCAGTGCCCCTTGACCGATTCTAACTTTACCAGCCACCCCTGAACAGCGATGATACAAACTGTTCTCGAAAGGTTTCATCACATTATGTTACATTCACATTACATTTATATTATCCTATTACATGTATTTAAAATTTGTACCTGGGCCGTGGTATTTTCTACTGAGAAAACTTTCAAGATTCATATAAATCGTATGATTTGACTTTGGAAATACACAGGTTATTTTAAATGATTTTACTGAAGCCACCTTAACAAAGCATGGTACGCCGAGAAGCTAGACGTGCCTTGATGCTCATGGAGGTTCAGTCTACTGTCGCTTAATCGACAAAATGGGGTCGGTGGCGTAGCCTTGTGGTTAAAGCGTTCGCTCGTCACGACGAAGACCCGGGTTCGATTCCCCACATGGGTTCAATCTGTGAAGCACATTTCTGGTGTCCCCCGCCGTGATATTGCTGGTATGTTTCTAAAAGTGGCGTAAAACTAAACTCATTCACTCACTAAACGACAAAATGCAACTCCTGAATACTCCAGGTGACTTTAGCCTGTAAATAAACGGATCTAGATCATACAAAGCAGTGATCGATACCATGAGCAGCGTGACATGTCGTCGGAGTACGAAGACACCAACTGACTAGGTCAGACACCCTATTCACGCAGTCGCCTCTAGCTTGGACCCATTCAAACGACGATCGTAGACAGACAGACAGACAGGCAGACAGATAATGTATTTGAGTCTCACCTCAACATCACACATATGTACATAGAACAAAATAATAAAACATGTAAAAATACAAATTAAAGGAATATAGAGGATATATAATACATATTTCCAGTACCAAGTTAAGAGTATAAAGGGGCATGTCGCCGCCGTAAGATAGGAAAGCAGGTTTTGGCTGTATTAAAAGACACTTGTGGATTATTGTGGACAATAAAAATATCATCTTAGCAGGGTCACTAAATGACATAAAACTAACAGTAAGCTCACATATGTTTACTTCACATTGACCTACGTTGACGTAGCGCTATAATCACTTTGTTGAACTGGCCCTAGGGTCCGATGGTGGCCATTTCTCCATAACTGGATGTCTGAAATTGATCATTTCATTTTTGATTAATATTTGTGGACATAATTTTCAATATTACTTACAAACCATGAGGATTGACGGTCCACAAAATATATTGAGATAATCTGAAATATTAATCTGTAAATAGTACACTATCGTCAATCTATACGTTATTGCGAGTGCGAGTGCGTGTGCGCGTGCGTGTGCGTGTGCGTGTGCGTGTGCGTGTGTTTGTTATATACTGACCTCGTAAGGATGTGAAAGCCACATTAACTTGACATCCTATGATAGAGGGAAAAACAAACTGCCTTTGAGCAGCTGAGCTGAGCTGGATATTGGCGCTATACCAATATCATATAACCCAAAAAAATTAAAAAATACTTATCTCTGATTGCCATTTGTCCGTCATTGTATGTATTAGTCTTACATATTCTTTCTTTTGCAACACGTGAACATCCGGGTTAGAATGGGTCTTCAGCAACCGAGGCTGACTAAGCGGCGACTGAAGGGATCGGGTGGTCAGCTTCGCTGACATGGTTGTCATCGTATCCCAACTGCGTAGATAGATGCTCATGCTGTCGATCACTGGATTGTGTCGTCCAGGGTCGATAAGTTACAGACCGCCGCCATATAGTTGGAATATTGCCGAGTGCGGCGTTAAACAACAAACAAACACATTTGAATTAAAGAAACCATGTTGTGAGTATTGTCAAAAAGGCTATACAAAGTTAAGTGCAGTATAATCCGTTGCCTGCAATAATCATTGCTCGACGACCTGACCAGGTATTAAAGCAGTTATAATTACAGCCCCAAGCTATTTGTCAGGCGGTAGTGAACATACAGTCGGGAAGCATGTCGTCAGTAACTCGATCTCCTTCCTGGTTCTTTATCAACTTCGAAACTATTTCCCTATTCAAACCTTTACCGTCCTGACACACGCACATAGTGAACAGGCGCGGACTACACATCTATGTATGTAGGGGTGTCTTATAACGAGGTACGTTTACATTACAGTGGATTCGGGTTATATATTACAAGAGTGAATGTATTAGCAACATATCGTCATCTACACACTAAGCTTGCGACATTTAAATTTTTTAAACAAGTTGAACCAAATGAATTTGGTCACGTGACTAAGGCGACTTCGTCGGTCACTGTAGGGTTTGTACAACAGGTACGTATTTTACTATATTGTACATCCTGCTGAAGTGTTTTCTTGTTTATAGTGAATCTGTACCACAGACAAGTCTTGCTCAGGTGGGTTGTGCATGTTTTGGGAACGTGACTATGTAGTTTGTAACTGTTACAATACGCCATACTTTGTCTCCTCGAGCTCCAGACACCATGACAGTGTGTCCTGGTCGCTGGGAGTCACGTACTAGTGAATGGCTAATAATAGACTACATCCGTATGGTTACATCAACACAACATGTGCTGGGCATGTTTAATACTAGTACCTATAAGTAGATAGTGATTTACAATTACACTAGATTTGTAATCTGGTACGTGGTTCAGTCACCTTGTATTGATTCATCTTGACATGATTTGTAACGTTTTGTGATTTACCTTTTCTGGACTAGTAACGTTTTGGTGATTTACCGTGGCTGGATAGTAACATTTTGGTGATTTACCGTGGCTGGATAGTAACATTTTGGTGATTTACCGTGTCTGGATAGTAATTAACATTTTGGTGATTTACCGTGTCTGGATAGTAACGTTTTGGTGCTTTACTGTGTCTGGATAGTAACGTTTTGGTGATTTACTGTGTCTGGATAGTAACGTTTTGGTGATTTACCGTGTCTGGATAGTAACGTTTTGGTGCTTTACCGTGTCTGGATAGTAACGTTTTGGTGATTTACCGTGTCTGGATAGTAACGTTTTGGTGCTTTACTGTGTCTGGATAGTAACGTTTTGGTGATTTACTGTGTCTGGATAGTAACGTTTTGGTTATTTACTGTGTCTGGATAGTAACGTTTTGGTGATTTACCGTGTCTGGATAGTAATTAACATTTTGGTGATTTACCGTGTCTGGATAGTAACGTTTTGGTTATTTACCGTGTCTGGATAGTAACGTTTTGGTGCTTTACTGTGTCTGGATAGTAACGTTTTGGTGCTTTACTGTGTCTGGATAGTAACGTTTTGGTGATTTACTGTGTCTGGATAGTAACGTTTTGGTGATTTACCGTGTCTGGATAGTAACGTTTTGGTGATTTACCCTGATTTCATATTTAAAATTTTGGTGATTTACCTTGTTTGGATCAGTGACAGTTCCATGATGGACCGTGTCTGGATAAATAAGTTTTGGATAGCTTAGTTGTCTTTTAGTGATTTATATTGTGCTGATTGGTATCATGTTGATGGTTTACCTGTTTACCCTTTGTTGATAAGTATTACCTTGTTTTATTTAGTCACATGATGGTTTACAATATCATAATTAATAAGAGTCGGTATGATTAGTACCACTTTGATGATTTTGTTTGTCTAGACGTTTGAAAGGTTTCCCCCGTTTTGATCTGGTCATATATTCCTTAATGATTACATTAACAATTACTCTGCCCACTTTATTCCAACACGCGTATGCAACTGACAGGTAGGCCGCTCTCCTATTAATATTAACGCAATAACCAATGCTGTGTCGTTCAGCACGTGTCTATTAATGCTGGATCGTCAGCATAACATTATAATTTATTATATGTATAAAAAAATATCGACATTTCCTCACTTTATAAGTCCACGATATTATAGCAGTAAAATGTGTCATCCGGCCTTATCTCAACCTTGGTCGGGAACAGGAACAATGTGAAACGTGGACTACATACTGTAGCGTGCCTGATTGGAACAGCCCCGCAGTATGTATATAACGTCCTTGCTTAGAAGACCTCCTTGGTCCGGTGCAAATATTCAACACCATGTTTACTACCACCATAACCTACTTATATAGCAGCTTGATTGCTTTTGTCATTGTCCCTACATGACATTTGACCCTACAGTGTATGGTTGATAACCACAGGTGCAGCTGATTGACAAGTCTGTCTCACAGTCCCCGAACCACATTATTTTCCCTACTGCCTAGCCCTCCCTGCAATGTAGTCTGTCTCAGAGTCCCCAAACCACATTATTTTCCCTACTGCCTAGCCCTCCCTGCAATGTAGTCTGTCTCACAGTCCCTGAACCACATTATTTGCCCTACTGCCTTGCCCTCCCTGCAATACTAAACCCCTAAATGAAGCAAGTCTAGATTTCCCCAGGTTCAAGTTGAATCTCCCATCTTAAATGTGTTTTTTTGTTACCACCAAAATTATATATATTCTGAGACTGAGAGTTAGTCTGCTTATTGACTACAACCTGTGTCTGGCTGACATGCGCAGACAGCATTAACTCATGACTCATCAGTTCTAATACTGACATGGCAATACACATTATGCAGATTGTAAATTCGGCAAAGTTTGAAATAAATTACATACGTAATTATTTGTTGATGACATTTTAAAGTATATGTTATATAATTTATTATAAGTGGGAGAAAAAGGGAGGGAGAGAGTAGGGGGGAAGAGAGGGTTTAAAAAGTACAGAAATACGTTACGAATCCACTTTCAGATACATTTCAACCATGGATGAGAAAGTGCTGAAGAAGATGGATGAGCTGGAGAGATATGAGAAGATAAAAAAGCAGCTTGGAGAGCGATACGATCAATCGAAGGGCGTGACCCCTCTCTTCCGGTATGGGCAGCTCAAATCGATGATCAAGGCAGCCATTTTGAAAATGTCGAAAGATAACGACGATGACGGTGACGACGAAGAAAAGGACACATCAAAACCAGGTAAATATAACGCTGGAAATAAAACCTGGGTTGCGTCCTTGAAACCTAAATATTTTACACAGATACACAAAATATCCTGCTCATGGGCTGCAACCCTGCCCATACAAGTAATTATGGCCTCTGGATGGCGGGTACCCTCGTGGTTAAAGTGGTCGGTCGTTCGACTCCCCACATTGATACAACGTTTGAAGCTCAAGCCCATGACATTGGTGGAATATTGCTAAAAGCGACTCACTCACTCACTCTGTAGATCGTTGCTCGTGCTGTTGATCAGTGGATTGTCTGGTCCAGCTTCAATATTTAAACATACATACCTACAACGAAAAGACACTGAAAATAACTACTTAGTTTTATCTGTCTGGCATCGAAGAAATTCCCACCGATAACGTAAATGAAGCAGATTGATTCTGTTCAATACCACAACAATCGAAAGAAAACAAAGTACCATAAATTACAACCGACATAAAATCAACAACATCAGGCAGATGCATTGTTGGATAAATGAATCCATGGATAATCATTTAAAGTGACAATATCCCATCCATCTTCAGTTGATGTAAGTTCATGGATCAATAATATCAGACAGTTACCAAGTTGTAGGAATGTCTCCATCAATATCCACATCCATCTGCAGCTGACAGTGAAACGTGTTCCATGTCACGTGTCATTTATAAAATGTATATAAAACCTACATTCATCAACTCCAACGTTTGAGAAATCCACAGATAACAGTAACACTAATTAATCAATGTATTGTATAGGTTCATCCTTTGATCGAGGAGTTTGGATTTCCTATCTTGCTGCGCTTCAACCTGCCTATTGCATAACACGTAATACATTTATAAGAGCAGACCACAATTTTCACGGTTGAGTAATTACCCCAGACACGAGTAAGGAACCTTTGTCTGGGGGGTGTTATCACTAATTATGCCCGTTATTACTTTAACTTCGCATCAAGTGAATGATGACAAATAAACAGGTGTAGGCTTAGGTCTTAGATCAGTTAGACTGACTGACTGAGTTTGGTTTTACGACGCTTTTAGCAATATTCCAGCTACATCACGGCAGGGGGCACCAGAAATGGCTTCACACATTGTACCCATGTGGGGATTCGAACCCGGGTCTTCGGCGTGACGAGCCAACGCTTTAACTATTAGGCCACCCCACCGCCCAGATCAGTTAGATGCTAAGATGGTGCGGGTATAGGATGTGATGCACCAGGCTACCGCACCCTGTCATATATCATTTATCTTACAGTTGGTTGTAAGATTCTTACCTAACGCTCGTGTACAACGTATCCAGAATTGGGATATTATTGATATCATCATGTCTGCTTACTGTGAAAGGAAATAGACAAATATATTTTTCAGGGAAGTATGAAATGGTGAAACGGAATGTTGGGAGTCACATCCAAATCTGAACATTACGAAGTTCTAATCTGTTACAGATACACAATGGGTTTGGGAGTTGGTCAAGTGTAACACATGTTATATTTGGGATTACACTTTCTCGGTAAAGTAGAGATTCTGGTACTTTTGGGTTTGGTTGAGCCTGTTCCGGGACTCTCGGGATCAGGCACATAATCTGTTCTAGGCCTGTGTTTTATTTTCAGTGCTTATTTTCTGTTTCAGATCTGAAACATATGTCCAATACACGTCTCACTGAAGACTTCATCCACAAGAGACGCCAGGTCAAAGTCATCCTGAAGCTGAAGGACGAGTACGCCTCTTCCAAGAGTCTCGGTGCCTTTGCGAGGTACGGGGAGCTCAAGTCAATGATCAAGCGTGTTACCAGGGATACATAGGGATTGTCAGAAACTACTGGCGAGTGATTACCACAGGGTGTCAAAGGAAGGAAGCACAAGAATGTTCAGACATAAACAATGTGAGACATAATCTCTTGCCAAAGTGGTTATCTAGTCTACCATCTTGATGCTATTACATGTTAGTCGCCTTTACGATTTATGTTAAAAGATATGTTCTGGAAGAAAGGATTGAAAGAGGCATTTATCTAGGGAAAGTAATTATCCAGTATCAACAGTGGGTGGGGGGATCTGAGTGGGTGAGTGAGTGAGTGAGGTTATTGTTCCTTGGATAATCTTCCAGCCACCGATATATCGGCGATAATCGAATGGAATCATGTCCTCAGTGTGCAGCCATACACTAGGCTGTCCACCGTCATTACCACGAAAACAATTGTCTTTGCAAATTCCATAGCACTAGAAATACTGTTGATACTGGTGAAACCAGGCAACAATGTTCAAGCTCCATTGGATCTATCGAAAGATCGTGAAATTTAAGTCTGCAACAACGAACTGAAGCAGGTCGCTAAAATATAGTACTGAGTGTGTTGGTTCAACATGCTTTGAATACTATGTTAGATGTGTCAGAATGTGGCAGCTCAAAGCGGGAGACAACCCACAAAAACGCTAACAAACTAAGACTGACAATCAGGGTAAAAATGGGATTCGAACACTTCATCACATCGGATCTAAATGACATGAGGGATCCATCTCTTAACAGTAAACTGCAGCGTCTGAGAAAAGTGGTCACCAGCACTTATCAAAGATAAGCGCAGTCCAATGCGAGCAGTGTAGATAGATGTGGGTTGCAATATCAGACACGTAACCCACAACTATTTAGATACAGCCCTGGCCTTGTACTGCGCTTACCTTTCATAAAACCTGTGAAGATCCAGGTAAGAATTGATCTTCAGTAACCCATGCTTGTCGTAAGAGGCGACTAACGGGATCGGGTGGTCAGACTCGCTGACTTGGTTGACACACGTCATCGTATCCCAATTGCGCAGATCGATGCTCATGCTGTTGATCACTGGATTGTCTGGTCCAGACTCGGGTATCTAGGGACCGCGTTCATATAGCTGGAATATTGCTGAGTGTGACCTTAAGCCACACGCACGCACGCACGCACGCACGCAGGAACGAACGAACGAACACAAACGCACGCAAACACTGAAACATGCGTTCCTCTGTATCTGTTTATTAATGCCTGCAAAATGATGATCAGCATTATACGATTATGTCTTTTTCTGTTGACTGGGCGTTGTTAAACAAATGTTTATTCTTCACCATTGCTACTATCATCGCCATTACAATGTTCACCGGACCCGAGAAGATCAGGGTTAGACTTGCTCTTCAGTAACCCACGCTTGTCGTAAGAGGCGACTAACAGGATCGGGTGGTCAGGCTCGCTGACTTGGTTGACACATGTCATCGTATCACAATTGTGTAGAACGATGGTCATGCTGTTGATCACTGGATTGTCTGGTCCAGACTCGATTATTTACAGACCGCCGCCATATAACTGGAATATTGCTGAGTGCGACGTTAAACAACCAACCAACCAATGTTCACCGTTCACTTTCATTATTACATTCTAATGCCTTCATTATCACATTGGTATTTTATGTGTACTCAATAAGAGGAAAGTCAAAATATGTTCGACATATCATATTTATTGCCGTTATAATGCAACTGTTATTGACCATGTATATGTGTATGTTATACTTGCATTTATATCATATTCATACTGCTTATAGAGATGCATGATGTCGATTAACGTTTCTGATCCCCATAATTTGGATTTGAATTTGAATACAGGCAAATATCCCCGATAAACTATGTTAGTTATTTTTTTCACTTGTATGTTCACAAACGCGCGCGCGCACTCACGCAAGCACGCACACACACCCATCAACTGTTCAAACCATGTGTTGCGCTGTTATAGTTGTTATAGTACAGGGGTATAATCGTTTTGTCCACTGTTTTCATCGGCCGTACAAAAGAAAGTATACTCTCATGTTTGATGGCAGCCATGAATGTTTCGTACTCCTTTAAAACGTTTGTCATCAGGACCCGGATTACTCGTTCTTTTCCTACCAAGAACAGTTTTGGCAAATATCACGTCTTCGTGTGGTGATACGCATCATTGCAGTGTTTCAGCCGCAATCCCAATTGTCATGAGGTTGTTCCCGATGTTTTCAATAATTTATAACCCACGAAGGTTGGTATTAACCAAAAAGACGTCACTTGTAGTTGTATGACCGATACGTTGGTAGCAGTCTTGACTGCCAAAGGTACTTGGGTTTTTTCCGTAACTGAAAAATTTGTATTAAATGTTCTTCGTATAGTTAAATGAAACAGTTAGTGGTTGATGGGGAAATCTGAAGTGTTTCTGGGCATTTAGCCAAAAAGCAAAATCTCTGAGAATGCGATTGAAGTTAAAAGCAATAAGCATCAAGAATCAAGCGTAAAATCAGTTGGCAAATTTCAATTGCAGTCCTTTTATGATTTATAAATTTCATAAATGTGAATGAATATATTTGGCACACAGTTTACCTTGCCCTTTCATAATTAGTTTTTCTAGTTGCCAATCACTCCATAGGTTGTTTTTCTTATTATTAACATTTTCTCAATGGTAAAAAAGGGCGGCGGGGTAGCTCAGTGGTCGAGGCGTTCGCTCGTCACTTGGAAGATCCGGTTTGATTCTCCACATTGGGAAATGTGTGAAGCAAAATCCAGATGTCCTAGATTGGTTGAATAGTCCGAAGTGCGACGTAAAACCATATTCACACACTGTTATGAGCTTTATATATTGACAGGATATATTTCAAAATAGGATAGATAAACCACAGTAAGGTGAGCTACAGTGTTTATTGATTTTACTTTATACAGAAACTGAACATGCAGTTAAACGCCATGGTAGTTGTCAGTATCTAGTCATATTAATATAAACTTAAACACTTGATGTTCACGAAGTTATTGAGACCATTCGCTGAATTGATTTAATTGGGGCTATCAACTTGATGGTTATATTACCTTGTCAGTCTGACATGAAGTTCATACATGTATGTGTATGTACACTTGGGACAGGGTTATGCCTCTGTGGCACATCAAATGGACTACAGCTGCATGCAGTAACTATAAATCTGTTACACCATGTTACGCGAGATGGCTAAATGAATTAATGGTTTCTTAATTACGGCATGGATACTTGTCACTTAAGAGAACACAAACATACCGCTCTGTCACATTTATGAGTGAGTGGGTTTAGTTTTACGCCGCACCCAACAATATTCCAGCTATATGGCGTCGGTCTGTAAATAATCGAGTCTAGACCAAACAATCCAGTGATCAACAGCATGAGCATCAATCTACTCAAATGGGAACTGATGACATGTGTCAACCAAGTCAGCGAATCTGACAACTCAATCCCGTTAGTCGCCTCTTACGACAAGCATGAGTTACTGATTAACAATTCTAACCCGGATCTTCACGGGTTCTGTCACATAAATAATGTAGGAGGGTACTTTTAGCTGACCATGACCTGTATAATGTTTGTGATTCGTCATTGCTTATCCTTGGTCTGTACAATGTTTTTGTTTTATGCTGTGTGTACATTATCTATTTTCTATGCATTACATTAACAATGATACTATATGATGTCATCATGTTTTGCCACATCACCACATATTACATCAACAATGATACAATTGGATGCCATCCTCAACTGCCATATAGGCCACATCATCCAGCATTCCATGAACATTGATAGAATATGATGTAAAACCAGGACAAGTTCCAACAATTTATTATTACAAAATGGAATGCATGCCTAAATATCCCCAACTTGAAAATTGGTAAAAATGATATAGTAATATTATTTTTAGTATTCTTTTTAGTAACATTATTTAGGAAACAAGAAAGAAAAGTTAGTTTTATTATACAAAAATATTGTAATAGACGTGAAAAGCCTTCAAACCTCTGATGGTAAACTCTAAATGCTAATTTTAACATACATACATGTGTTGATATTCCAGTATAACAATGTGCACATGTTCTTAGTGTGTCTGTGTGTGATAAGGTGTATACATATTGTAGAAAGAAAGGGTTTCAGCACGATCAGGTGCGAACATATGCCTAAAAGGAACCAGTGCTATGTAGCATACTGGTCTAGAAGCCAGTCCCCCAAAATGGTGAAAATGTGGTGAAGTTCTGGCAACCGAAAGGAATGTGATTCTTCACAATCAGGAATGATTAAGCTTTGATTTCAAGCCTGTTGTCATCAGCTACCATACGTGACTAGCGTGCAGGGGCCCTTTTAAGGTGCAACATGTCATATCAGTTATGGTAATATTTTAACCGATAACAAGAAGATTCAATTTAATAACTCTGGTTTGGATTGACAGATTTTCGTCAAAATAGTAGCTTTGGAATGCTCAGATTGTGATTTAAAATTGTGGACAATAATATTGTATATATATGCTATATATTTTGGTACGTTCAAAGGTCAAGTTTGATAGAAAGTGCATTTGATGAGAAAAACATGAGTTAAACTTTACAAATTCAAGGTAATTTTACCAACATTATGTTTTACTAATTCAGCTATATCATTTGAAGATCATATATACGTTTGGTTGGCACTGTATGCATGCAAAACCATTACAAGGAAACATGAGTTAGTACTTTGTATTTAGATTAGCAAAATATTACATAATGTCTGTTCAACAGTAACGATTCCGTGCTTTACATAGTATCAAAGACACCAAATGTGTCGAAGATACGGTTGGACTATCATTAAAATCACACAACATAACAGAAAGCTCTTGAATGTATAATTCGATTATTCCAGATGTCTTTCTTTGATGAGTCAATCATGTCATCATAATGCAAGCAACATAATGTATTTCCAGTTGACATGTTAGTCAATGTCAACAATGCCAAGATCACGGAAACATGTTTCAAGTCCACATCCACATTGAAGTACACAACAGGTTCAAACTTGTACAGCTACACCTTCCTGTGCATTGACTTTTACATGCACAGATGAAGCTGAAGAAGGTCCACGTGTTTCCTCTACTATAACGTTCACAAAAACAAGCATGCCTCAGTTTTAGTAAAATCTAATGATATACATAGCGGAGTTAAACATACCATGGTCACGTCACTATATGAGCATCGATCTTAGCAAGTGGGATACGATGGCATGCATCAAACAAGTAAGTGAGAACGACCACCCGATCACAGGGGTTACTGAAGATCAATTTTGACCCATATTGTTTTACGTATCCTCACATACCTGTGAGAATGGTTAATGAATATATGCATAGTCATTCTCATGATATGGATTGTAGTACATTCCAAATGCTATTAGACAACACAATGTATGTCGCCAATATCAGCTGGTCTGTTCATACCTCAGAGAGGGAATTGTCAAGTTACATTTAGTCAACATCAGCTATTCAATACACACACAAAAGTTGGAATAGATGTTGGCAGACGAGTCAGATGCTTTAGAATTAGATTTCGCGCGGAAAACATTGAAATCGTATATACATATTGACAGTAGTGGGTGACCTCGCCTAGATAAAAGACCAACTGTTGTTCATATCCCGATATCAGCATGTCGCATGACTACGTTGTCAGTCAAGCAGAGAGTAAATAAATTGACAATAGTTTGCGCATCATTGAATTGGGTCACATTAATCACTACCTTCATCAGTTGTTGAACGTCAACAATAAAACGTCAATCCTAAAAACAGTAATGGGTGACCTCGCCTAGATGAATGCTAACAGACCAACTGTTGTTCATTTCCCGACTTCAGTGTGTCGCATGACTACGTTGTCATTCAAGCAGAGAGTTAATGAACTGGCAATAGTTAGCGAATCATGGAACTGGTTCACGTCAATTACTATCTTCATCAGTTGATGAACGTCAACAATAAAACGTCAGTCCTAAACCATTGACAGACCTCACCTAGATGTTCCAACAGACATTATGAAGCCACCAGCTGTGATCAGCAGAGCGTTTTAAATTCAGGAAATCTTATGCTTGCCCAGATCTATATATTTATTTTCAAAAATACGAATGCTAATATTACTAGGAGATTTGTTGTTTTTAAATACGTTTCCTTCCTTGTAAGAACCACATTCGCTCTATATCGCTGGGACCTTAGACATGCCAGTAGTCTGTCTCCTACTCCCGACTTTTCACCACACCCTTTCTACAATGCAATGCAAAAATGAAGCCAGTCTAGACTCCCACTGGTTCTGAATCTCCGAGCTCACTGGGGCTAATTCAGTATGAACGGAGTTATCTATTTCTATCAGAATGTCCAATTTTAAGAGACTTACGCTTTGTATAACGTGGCAGGATCTTGTAATTATAGATCGAAACATTCCCCGGATATGCTTCTTGGTTTTTTCAAAACCATACCTTATTTCTGAATTTCTTCCACATTAGACAACTTGTGTTATACGATCTAATATTCAACTTACACGGTTGTGTAGTCTTTTTATGGCATATGTTTGAGTTTGTTTGGTTCTTGCTACATTTCTTTGGGCTGGGACTATTCAAGATGGAATCCATCTAAGCAGGATAAAGTAATTATGTTCTCACTAACACAGAAGTAGCGAATGAAGTGATTTATTTTTGTTTGTACCAAAAGCTCCCAGTTTCTTCTGGTGACTTGATTTTGTGTGTGTTTGTAACGGGTACTAAAGGTAGGCAAACTGTGCTAACCTTTTCCGCAAGCACACTTCAAATGAAGATGGGTGTCTTGTTGATATCTTCTTCTCCTTGTTGGTGAAAACTGTAGGATGCTATCATCAACACCCAATAAACCAGAAGAGAGTAATAACATATTGAACAACCTGAACAACTATCAAACCCCAATGTGAATGGCACATTTGTAACATCTGTAGCCCTTTTCTCACACTCACATTTGTCTTAAGAAGTGACAATGAGTTGGAGTCAAGTGATGAAGCTGGTGCCCTCACGGAAACCTGTCCGCTTGCATATCAGTGTTTTGCTTAGCCAGGCCCTCATTGGTATGAGCCTTGATTTCAAAGGTTTCAGCATATGTGAATAACAATATGTGAACCGAGTTTTTCTGTTTTGTTTTAGTACTGGTAACAGGAACATATGAAGAGTTCAAATACATACCCTTGATATCCGTAGTGATGTAAAAGTTTTTAAGCCATGAAAACATTTTTTTAATTTACAAATGTTTCCCCACCTAAAGAAATATTTATATTTCGAACCCAAGTAAACTTAGAAAAGAATAGGAAATTACATAACCCATTACAATCAAAAGGAAAGTATTAAAAATACTGTATGGTTAAGCATTTCAGAGGTATATGAGGGGTATGTATATTTGGTTGCAGGATACAAACAGTCTTTCTGATGTGTTTGGTATCCGACACAATAGCCTTTCTGATCAGTGTGTAATATCTTTTACAATGTATCAATGTTTGCTGGTGTAAAATAAATCAAGAAAACCAACAACTTGCACACCATGATGACAAAATGTCACCTATACAAACCTTCCATTAGAATGTCATATTATTATCCATCAGCTTTAGGGTTTTACAGCATGTCAGTGCAGTGCAATGGAGCGTGAAGTGACAGAAATATAAACAATATTGACACATCAAAAACATCTCCTTCTGACATCAGTTGAATTGTTGTTTCTGCCAGACTGTCAATAAACAGATATTTGTATGATAGCCCAACAGTATCTTCGACATATTTGGTACTGTTGATACTTTGTAAAAGCATGGAGCTGAAATTATCTAATATTTTGCTGATCTAAATACAAAGTACCAACTTTTGTTTCCTTGTAATGGTTCTTCCCCTTGAAGGTCCGGGTTAGAATGAACCTTCAGTAACCCAGGCTTGTCGTAAGAGGCGACTAACGGGATCGGGTGGTCAGGCTTGCTGGCTTGGTTGAAACATCTCATCGGTTCCCAATTGCACAGATCGATGCTCATGCTGCTGATCACTGGATTGTCTGGTCCAGACTCGATTACTTACAGACCGCCGCAATATAGCTGAAATATTGCTGAGTGCGGGCGTAAAACTTAACTCACTCACTGTAATGGTTCTTCATGCATACAGTGCCATCAAACATATATATGATCTTCAAATGATATAGCTGAATTTGAAAAACATAATTTGGGTATAATTACCTTCAATTTGTAAAGTTTAACTCATATATTTCTAATCAAATGCAGTTTGTATTAAAATTGACCTTTGACCATACCAAAATATTTTTTTGATGAGCATATATTTAATATTATTGTCTACAATGTTTAAATCAAAACTGTTTTGATGAAAATAGGTCAATTAAAACCATAGTTAAATAATTAATCCATCCAGTTATCAGATAAAATATTACCATAACTTAGGCTTCTAGACCATACAATCCTCACATTAAGCATGCATCAAGAAGAGGCAGCACTTACAAGAACAAAGCAATGGACATTTCCCTGGAGGCTATTACCTGGGTTGATATTGAGAGCACTGGTCCACACAATTGGGATGCGATGACATGCTACGAAATAATTCACTGAGCCTGAATTAGATGTTCCACTCAGTTGCTTCTTACCACCAGCTTATGCTGCTGGGGACGTTTTCTGGTACAGGATTCCCACAGTGGACCCCTTTTGTTATTGTCAGTTATAGAAGGGAAGGATCCATTATTCTGTCAGTGAGTGAGTGAGTATGGTTTTATGCCGCTTTTAGCAATATTCCGACAATATCATGGCGGGGGACACCAGAAATGGGCTTGTCACATGTGAGGAATCGAACACAGGTCTTCAGCGTGACGAGTGGACGCTTTAACCACAAGGCTACCCCACCGCCTCAATCTGTCTTTAAAAGAACACATGAACTTACAAAGAACAAAGATATTCACACTTTATTCACATTTCCAATTCTACATTCACTGACTCATGTTCATAATAGGCTTCCACCCAATGAATAGTTTGTTCGAGAAAGTAGGCAAACATCTTTCCAAATATTTGCACAGCAGACAAGGAAAGCACTGCATCTGCCATGCTTGCAGAGCACTACACAGAATTCCTCTAAGCCATCTTCTGCAATGGAAGCATTCAGCCTGTCTCCCAATTTATTCAACATTCCAGTTCATGTACCACAGTGATCATCCATTGCATTCACACCCTCATCTAGACAACTTGTATAGCAGTGGTCTTAATTTCTAAATTATTTCATCTTAAGTTTATTGAACATACACATTGATGCACAGCTTTAAGACTTCCAATCTAATTTATTATCGTAGCATCAGTATCCATGCTCTCCGTACACATGTTAGAAGGGAAACTGAAGAAATCTGACATCAGGTCTGCCACGACGGCCATTGTCTGTTTATCTAGTACCCATTTGACTGAACAGCATCACAAGCCAGTCCATCTCACCACACGCTGCACCCTGGGGTATCAGAGCCCTGCCCCACCACGGCAAGGTGGAGACTGACCTATCTTCTGTTCTGAGGTATTCCACTGTTCAGGAGTCTTGGCCTGAAATATAGGTGCAAGTGTACTTCATGTCAAGTCATGGACCAAACATCACAGCTACATCAGTACATCCAATCTCAGGTAAGGTGATCACAGCTGATGGTCAGACCTTGACCCCTATCTGTGTGATATTCATGCTCAACAGACATTTTGATCAACTTTCCTGACAATTTGCATCATATTACACCATGATAAGCATGGTTGAATTTAAACTGACAATGCTGTAACATCATAACATGACACTTTGTTTCAGGTCACCTGGGTAAGCCAAGATATTTTACTCAAATTAACTTCCAACACTTGTTTCATATTTCCCTTTACATTCTGTATAATTTGAGATTTCTGTGATTCAGTATCAATTGTGCCATCATTCAGACAGGCCATGAAAAATTGAATAGAACAAAAGATTGTGAACTATAAACAATTGCACACATTACAAAGTTGAAGACTTTCACTAAGAGGTAATAGCTTCAGACTGCAGGTAACAGTGTATTATATCCATACATATTCTCTGATACAATAACCTTTAAAACTATTTCTAAAATACATTAATTCACATTAATACAGATATTCCTTTTACTCACAAGAATAGAGAGAGCATGAATCTGGGTCTTCAGTTCCTGCTGTAGGGTATCATTCACCATACGATGTCTCTATAACACATGGGAAGGATTATCACTCACAACAATTATGTCCACAGAACTCAACATGACCTACTCGTCCACAGACCTCATTAGACTGGTCGATAGACCCCCATCAGTTCACAGACCTTCATATACTCTATACGCCCACACACTTCATTAGTCGATAGACCCCCATCAGTCCACACACTTTATTAGTCGATAGACCCCCATCAGTCCACAGACCTACATATACTCTATACGCCCACACACTTCATTAGTCGATAGACCCCCATCAGTCCACACACTTCATTAGTCAATAGACCCCCATCAGTCCACAGACCTCCACATACTCTATACGCCCACACCTTTCATAAGTCGATAGACCCCATCAGTCCACAGACCTTCAAATACTCTATACGCCCACACACTTCATTAGTCGATAGACCCCCATCAGTCCACACACTTCATTAGTCGATAGACCCCCATCAGTCCACAGACCTTCATATACTCTATACACCCACACACTTCATTAGTCGATAGACCCCCATCAGTCCACACACTTCATTAGTCGATAGACCCCCATCAGTCCACAGACCTTCATATACTCTATACGCCCACACACTTCATTAGTCGATAGACCCCCATCAGTCCACACACTTCATTAGTCCATAGACCTCACTAGTCCACACACTTCATTAGTCGATAGACCCCCATCAGTCCACACACTTCATTAGTCGATAGCCCCCATCAGTCCAGACCTTACATACTTCTCTAGACCCCCCATCAGTCCACACACTTCATTAGTCGATAGGCCCCCATCAGTCCAGACCTTCATATACTCTATCGCCCACACACTTCATTAGTCGATAGACCCCCATCAGTCCACAGACCTACATATTCTCTATACGCCCACACACTTCAATAGTCGATAGACCCCCATCAGTCCACACACTTCATTAGTCGATAGACCCCCATCAGTCCACAGACCTACATATACTCTATACGCCCACACACTTCATTAGTCGATAGACCCCCATCAGTCCACACACTTCATTAGTCGATAGACCCCCATCAGTCCACAGACCTCCACATACTCTATACACCCACACCTTTCATAAGTCGATAGACCCCATCAGTCCACAGACCTTCAAATACTCTATACGCCCACACACTTCATTAGTCGATAGACCCCCATCAGTCCACACACTTCATTAGTCCATAGACCCCCATCAGTCCACAGACCTTCATATACTCTATACACCCACACACTTCATTAGTCGATAGACCCCCATCAGTCCACACACTTCATTAGTCGATAGGCCCCCATCAGTCCAGACCTTCATATTCTCTATACGCCCACACACTTCATTAGTCGATAGACCCCCATCAGTCCACAGACCTACATATTCTCTATACGCCCACACACTTCAATAGTCGATAGACCCCCATCAGTCCACACACTTCATTAGTCGATAGACCCCCATCAGTCCACAGACCTACATATACTCTATATGCATTGCCACACACTTCATTAGTCGATAGACCCCATCAGTCCACAGACCTTCAAATACTCTATACGCCCACACACTTCATTAGTCGATAGTCCCCCATCAGTCCACACACTTCATTAGTCGATAGACCCCCATCAGTCCACAGACCTTCATATACTCTATACACCCACACACTTCATTAGTCGATAGACCCCCATCAGTCCACACACTTCATTAGTCGATAGACCCCCATCAGTCCACACACTTCATTAGTCCATAGACCTCATTAGTCCACACACTTCATTAGTCGATAGACCCCCATCAGTCCAGACCTTCATATACTCTATACGCCCACACACTTCATTAGTCGATAGACCCCCATCAGTCCACAGACCTACATATTCTCTATACGCCCACACACTTCATTAGTCGATAGACCCCCATCAGTCCACACACTTCATTAGTCGATAGACCCCCATCAGTCCACAGACCTACATATACTCTATATGCCCACACACTTCATTAGTCGATAGACCCCCATCAGTCCACACACTTCATTAGTCGATAGACCCCCATCAGTCCACAGACTTTCATATACTCTATCATGCAGCCCACATACTTCATTAGTCGACAGACCCCCATCAGTCCCACACACTTCATTAGTCGATAGACCCCCATCAGTCCACAGACCTTCATATACTCTATACGCCCACACACTTCATTAGTAGATAGACCCCCATCAGTCCACAGACCTCCACATACTCTATATGCCCACACACTTCATTAGTCGATAGACTCCCATCAGTCCACAGACCTTCATATACTCTATACGCCCACACACTTCATTAGTCGATAGACCCCATCAGTCCACAGACCTCCACATACCCTATACGCCCACACACTTCATTAGTCGATAGACCCCATCAGTCCACAGACCTTCATATACTCGATACGCCCACACACTTCATTAGTTGATAGACCCCATCAGCCCAGAGGCCTCAATGGTCCACATTCCATACTATTTCACCGAGCCAAATTTTTCACGGACCAACTATTTCACCAACCCAACTATTTCACCGACCAAAGTATTTCATGGACCAACTATTTCACAGACTCCAATATGCCAAGGCCCAACTATTTCACAGGTCCCACTAATTCAATATCGACCAATTTTAAGGATAACAACTCCTTTATTTCGTGACTGCGACGTTTCGGTACAGATTCTTGTATCCTTGTCAAGCAGGAATGTAACATGTAGTGGAGGCGAAGTATATACAGTGGAATCTGTCTATTATGGACTGGCCTGGGACCAACTCTTTTGTCTGGATTAGACAACTTTTGACTGTTACCGTAGACATTGCAACGATGAGTTACCGTATATTACCCTAGGTAAACCGAATTTTGAGGACCTAAAAATAACAGTCTGTAGAAGGTGGTCATCTTATCTATGGGATAAAAGTTGATTGTTGGGACTGTTATGTTAGTCCATAATCAGTAAGTGACAGAATCCGGAATATAAAGACAGCTTTAATGATAAATTAAGAACAATTTTGTCAGAACTTAGAGAGTAGTGCGGATTATGGAGAAAACCAAATTATGGACTTGACAGATTCCACTGTATACTGAATGAACAAAGAAAACAACACAATTAACATAATTGGCTAGGCAGTAAGCTCATAAAGCCAGTGACTTGGCAAAGGGAAAGGCTTGGAAGCCTACATGTCCACAGGCCCAACTATTTCAGAGACCCTACATGTCCACAGGCCCAACTATTTCAGACACCCCTACATGTCCACAGGCCCAACTATTTCAGAGACCCCTACATGTCCACAGGCCCAACTATTTCAGAGACCCCTACATGTCCACAGGCCCAACTATTTCAGAGACCCTACATGTCCACAGGCCCAACTATTTCAGAGACCCTACATGTCCACAGGGCTATTTCAGAGACCCTACTACTATTTCAGAGGCCCCTACATGTCCACAGGCCCAACTATTTCAGAGACCCCTACATGTCCACAGGCCCAACTATTTCAGACACCCCTACATGTCCACAGGCCCAACTATTTCAGACACCCCTACATGTCCACAGGCCCAACTATTTCAGAGACACTACATGTCCACAGGCCCAACTATTTCAGACACCCCTACATGTCCACAGGCCCAACTATTTCAGAGACACCCACTAGTCCACAGGCCCAACTATTTCAGAGACTCCCACTAGTCTACAGGCCCAGCTATGTCAGAGACCCCCACTAGTCCACAGGCCCAACTATTTCAGAGACACCCACTAGTCCACAGGCCCAACTATTTCAGAGACATCCACTAGTCTACAGGCCCAACTATTTCAGAGACTCCCACTAGTCCACAGGCCCAACTATTTCAGAGACCCCCACTAGTCCACAGGCCCAGCTATGTCAGAGACCCCCACTAGTCCACAGGCCCAACTATTTCAGAGACCCCCACTAGTCCACAAGTCCAACTATTTCACACACACAACTATAATTTTCATAAATACCTTACCTTAATTAGAGGCTGATTTGAAAACTTTTCCGATACAACCAAAACTTTGAAATGGCTCTCTGAACCTGCAAAGATTCAACAGTATTTTAACACTGGAAGAAATAAAAACCCATGACACAGGGTGCAGGTGGTTGTCGACAGACCAAGGTCAAAAGTGTGTTGGATCTGGGATTTGACCCCATGACAAGCAGATCCTGGTTCTAAAAGGATGCAACTGTACATGGTGGCCCACATACCCTTAAAGTTACTTACACACTGGGTTAAACAGGGAACATCCTAGCCTCAATTACAACTTCTTACCACATACAAAATAATATAGATGCATGACTAAAACGAGTGAGTGAGTAAGTGAGTGAGTGAGTGAGTGAGTGAGTGAGTGAGTGAGTGAGTGAGTGAGTGTTTTATGCCACTTTCAGCACTACTCCAGCAGTATCACAACGGCAGACGGCAGACATGAGTAGGGAATTGAACCAAGACCTTTAGCATGACAGCAAAAACCTTGACCACCATATTACCGTACCACTGCATACAGATAACAAGTCAGAAAATTGTATTTAGAGGTGACATTGACAGTAAAAAGAACAGAACCTACATCATGCAGCAGAGGATGATAACGTGATCAAAGGGAGGTAATGCCATCTTGAATCTACCCCAGTTGGCCATCCTTCTCAGTGGCAACAAGTGAGAACGAAAATAGGTTTAATGAAGGGTTCAAGATGATTGTACTTGCATAGCAAACGAGTCCCCTTAACACCCGGTGTTGAGCAGAGAAACAAGAAGTACAGTATATAGACTCTGTTGGTTGAATGCAATCAGGGGATTGAATGCCCAACCTTCCACTCCATGGGCAGATACTGAATCCACTACACCATTGAGACGGTGAATCTGTGTCTAACACTGGTTTCAATGTGCAACAAACTTTCGCATTCTTACAGATATCTCAGTGATATAATAGTTATTACAAATGAATGTAGGCAAAATACCACTTTCAGCAGTATTTCAGTCATATCATATGTAAGCTTAATGTGAAAGAAAGTCAGAAGGGATGCATCTGTTACCACGACGATGTAACCCAGGAGTAGAGGCTTGGTGCTGACTAACCAAGAATCAAAATCAGGGTGAATCTGGGATTTGAAGCCACAAACAGTACAAACTTGCATTAAACAGTAAACTTAAATTTAAAAGTACAAAGGAAATTTCAGTCCCTTTATAGGAGAATACGAGTGAATTGCAATAATTTGCTGGGTGAAAGATAAAGTCATCAGAAACATATTCCCAAATTTTCAATTAAAAATTATGTATAACAATGTTTTAATCGCGAAAACAGTTTCTGTAAATCTCAGCTTCAGCCATTATGCATTTTCGCTGGAAACCACGTGACCTTTCCGCTCGTGACGTCAAATGTGCCTGGAGTCCGCCATATTGCCAAAGACCAAGAGCTACAGTAGTACAAATCGTGTTGTTTCTGTCGATTTGTTAAATGGTACGATGGTGTATTGCATTGCCGGGGATGCACGGCATCATCGAACACGGGAAAGAACCACCATATCTTCTGTTTTTAAAGGGAAATGACAGATTTCGGCAGGAGAAATGCACCGATCATTCAGAGTCGGACGCATATGAAAGAGACATGCATGCATGGGGTATGGAAATCCCCAAGATAGACTGAAGAAGGAAAAGTACCCACGGGATTCATTTATACTCCATCATTCCCTGTAACAACTTACTGTCAGTGGTATTTTTAACATAAATTAAATCAAGTCCGATTGCCCCTGCTACAAATTGACCCAGCAAATTTGGTCAAATTTGGTCAAATTGGCCCAGTCAAAATGCCCCAATTTATTTAAAATGAATAAATATAGGCCATAAATGCATAGTTTTGTCAACTTTGATATTATGTTCTTCACATATAAGTATATACATAGTTATGAGTTTACTAATGAAACATTTATCAGAAATATTACTTCCTAATAACTTTTATATGAAGAACATAATATCATAATAGTTGACAAAACCTATGCATTTACGGCATATAAATAAATTGAACAAATTAGAATGAATGACAAAATTTGCTGGGGCATTTTGTAGCTGGGGCAGTTCGACTTGTACACATGAGATATATATTATCAAAATCAGTAAGAGACTTCACATGAGCTTGAAAATGTTTCGCTATAACGTTCTTTTCGATTTGGAAACCGAAACATTGCCTAATACAATGGCAAATCATGAAGTACTTGTTGCTTTCATTGTTTTCCATTTTGTCCATTTACGCACGTCGGCATCAGACTCGCTATTTGTCAGTAGTGTGTGCCGTGAAAGTTGTTCTGTATTCTCATTGGCTGACAAGATGTCATTCTAAGGCTATGACCGAGTACCATAACTATTTCCATAACCAAACAATGGGGAAACATACGTTGTCCTGACTAGTATTTTATAATTCACCAGTTTTCGGGAATAACTTATCTGCGTCGCAAATATTATCTCTGCTCGACCAGGCTGGGATCTTGTACCGAGACTTGATACGTTATTAATGAGACCTAGGATCCTAATTTTCTTCAAGAAAATAATTCCAGTGTAATTTTTGAAGCAGATAATTTTTATTTTCCCTCGTCTGAAGCATAATTATTTTGTTTTTAAATCCCAGACACCCTACAGTCACCAATTTGACACAAAATGAACTGTAATCACATTTAAAAAAAAAAATTCTCAGGAACTGGTCAAATATTTATAGGGGTGAGTTTGCTGGCTGGAACTGTATGACATTTTGCTGACAAATAGTAATCTTGTTAAATGATATGGTCTATTTTTAAATTTATTTTGACCTCAAGCGGTGCCTCCATTTTGCTTGATTCTTCTTCGTCATCTTCAGAGGAAGATTGTCAGAAATGACATCAGGAACATCTTTTACTGCTTCAGAATCCACGGACGCTGTTAAGTTGTGATGTAAAATCAAAGAGGAAGCCATCAGCCACAGGCACTTATGATGTCATGTCACGTGATACCCCCTCTGCTCATTAACTGTCGGGTGTTTCCGTAATAGGCGGAACTACGAGTACGTTTTTGTGTTTTTATTGCTATTTTACAAACTTTTTGTTCAATTTTAATCACGGAATGTGACTTTTAGAATATCCTTTACAACATGTACAATATATCAAAAGTTTTGTTTTCGTTTGTATTCTCCTTTAAATCCATTTAAGTGTAAAGTATGCATGTCAGGGAGAGCACATAAAATCTCGAAATCATCATCATAAGGGTGTTTTACTTGTCTCAGCATAGTGATCTTTTTCATTCAATATTGCAAACAAAATATTTGGTTCAGATGTTTGAGTGGAGGATTCTATTACCTTTGGGAACATTGTGCATGTGACTTTCATTGATGACCTCCAGGACTTCTGGCTGTAGAACAATCAGGGAAATTGAAATAACCAAATTCAAACATAATAATAAGAATTATCAGAACGCACTTAGCAGTATAATTTTTCAGCATTAACCTTCATTGGATAAATAGTATAATTAACCAACAGGGATTTATCGACACCTTCTTTGAGACATAAGTGCAAATAACAGTAAAAATTCCCAGTTTGAAGTAAAAAATTCCTCCTGCCTCATAATTTGCAAAAATTAACGTAAAAAGTACAATAAAAAAATATCCTGATTTTTTACCAACTCGCATGCCATGGTCACTTAGTTTGACAAAGACACCCAACTTTAAGATGGCAAGAGATCTATCCGTATGTCCTGTATCATACAAAACTCAACATACAGCCAGAAATATGAACAGCATTGTATACTTTTACAAACAAAGTAAGCCCACCTGGAAGGCATCTGCCAGCTTCTTTTTGATGGAGGTTTCAACAGGCCTCTGAAACACAGTATCATAAACTTTCACATTTGGTTTCTGGTACACCTAAGGGGGGTAACTCTGCACAGTAAATTGCAGTGTTTCAGACAACTTGAGTAACCATTCTGTCCCATTCACTGATCAATGAAGGGGGGCAACTCATCATGACAATGCTCCAACAAAATTAAACTTCAAATCAACACTTGAAACTCTATTCCTGCCTTAATATTTACACATCTCTATATTAAGGCTGTAACGATTCACTCGCATATTCGGTGAATCAAACCGTAGCCCTGCATGAATTCAATTCGTTATTCGTGGTCACTAGAACCGAATATTAACGAATATTTACGATTTCTTTAAGGGAGCATGTTTTACTTGAACCGTTATGTCCTTTCCAAAGTGAGATATGCAAGAATGGAACATGTACTAGCATTGCAGTATTGCAAGTCATGTTAGTTTGCCAAGACTGCACATGATACTGTCGATTATAACAATTACATACCAAATTTGAGTGTAATGAGATCACTGGTTATTGCTGTGACAAATTAACACTGTCAACATGGCCGTTCCATACTGTACATCAATCACTTAACTACAATATTGTATTCGGGAATAATTATTGATATTCGTTATCCAATATTCATGATACGTATCATATTCGCCACATAGTGTATTCATTGCAGCCCTACCCTATATGTAGATGGATGAGCTTGGAAGTATATTCAGTTTCAACTTCTAACACTTTGGTGTTTAAGACACATTTCCTGAAATCAGGGGTGGAAATAACTTTAAAATTGCTAGTGTACTCCGGTACAGTGGCACATGTAAAATCACTTGCCCTGATCATTTTTCTACTTTACCGGCCGTTTTCTTGTTGCTTTTTTAAATAAACAACATTATTAACATTGGAAAGTCAACTGGACACCGGTACAGCGTGATATACAAGTTTGCTTGCCTGACAGAAAAAAACACTGGACTCGGACGTCGGGCAATGGGTTATTTCCACTCCTGTGAAATACATTTACATCTCACATGTTTCAGTTTAATTTGCATGTCCCTCTTTATTATTCTGGGTAGGTGTATGTAGTAATGGATTAAATGTTTCAGAACTATGTACTGTGTTCAATATTTCTAAGTAGTCAAGTCGTATTGTGTTGAGAACTGTATTATAACTATCTCTGAATAACACTATAGGAATGTGAGTGAGTTGGCCTTAACGCCACTGCTACCAGTATTCCAGTTATGATCATGGTGTGTCAGGTTTATGTGGAGGAAAGCGATTCAGTTCTCAGACATTTACCACTTTGGTGAAGATGGTGAAAACAACATGTATGTGTGTGGTACTGACAAAACAAGAAACATGGTCAGTGTGAACTGGGATTGAAATCATGAGTTTCTAGCATGCCCACGGAACAACTTTGCAAAGTGAATACAATGCATTTGATGTTGGGTCATTCATGGCTTTCACTGAATACCAACCATGATTGGTAATGGTCTGGAAAAACACTCAAAACAAATGTACCACAAAGTGTATGGAGCTTTTTCCACCACAATCAATGCCAAGAAATATAGGTAAAATACACAAGAAAATATCAATTGTGATGTAAATGGTTGATCTTATGAAGAGTGCTACAGGATTACCTGGTCAGTGGGCATTTAGTATGGTACATTTATACTGTATTCTAAGTTTGGGTGTTTGACATTACATATATCTACTTGTCTTTTACCTCATTCACAGCATCTCCCATACTGCGACACAACTGAGGTATTCCAATTTGGGCCCTTCTAATACTTTGAACACACGCAAAAGCTGAAAAACAATACACATGATGAAACATTCATGATATACCATGTAAAATTATGGAATTTAGTCTGTATCATATTGTTCCACTGTACTGTAATTCATGGCATTTTTAAGACATGGTTGTCCATCGTGCTTTTCTGTTTATGAAAATCTACCCTCAGCTAACTGCCACAGTTCAACTTTTAATAAACATACCTGACCTAAGTGATTGCATCCCCAGCTGACTGAATGACGGATCACGTCCCCACGTTCATCGAATCGTCTATATGCACGACGTCGTGTATATTGTGGTACAATATACACGACTGGATAATTTCCAACCCCGGTTTGCAACACGCGCTGTGATTGGTAGATTGCTTGTAAACCGGTTACAAACCCTTGTACCGCCGGAGAACAAGCGTTACATTAAACTGGGCCCTGTCTCGCATATCACATTATATTGGTACTCGAATGTCTTAATCAGAGGTACAGATAAGCTGCGTGTCTGCGTAAATTAAGTAAATATCTATGTGAAAATTCAATTCCTATTAAGACTCTTGCATAAATAAGTACGATACATTTTTTTGTAAATACTCAATAAATGTGATCTTACATGTATACACACAAAAATGTCAAATCTTAGCTTGCGTACCGGTGGATAAATAAAATAACATGATATTGGGACATTCTATTTCAGAACATGAACTTGGCAACTTGTAGTTTTTCTTATCGTTTCTCATAATACAGATCAAATATAAATAACAAACACTCACATTTAAACTTTATTGTATTTTTAAAGTTAATGGAAATAGTAAAATACCCAATTGAGTTTGAGTAAGATATTTTTTAGTTACTCAAAGGAAAATTAGGATGCCCAATTGGGATGAGTATAAGCGAGTACATACCCCAAAAAGGTATCTGTAGCTCTGCTTAAATACTTATATTAATATATATATATAACTCCCAGTCAAGACATTCGGTCATGTGGTCCTATAGTAGGATCGACCGAACTCATGCCCGCAATGTATTCAGGCATTCTGTACATATTTGTAAGCGAATGCCAAGTTTAATTACTTACCCTCAATATATATTGTTCTCGTTCTGTATGTGTTTGGAATAGCAATGATGAAATGGGTTCGAAGGACATGCCCATTTACACAGTCTACGAAGCCCTGTTAACTTTATTTCCTCAAGGGATAATAATCACAATCATTCCTGACATTGATTTTTTGTTGCATTAAAAATATATGACATAAATATGTTTCACTTGTGTTGTGTGTTCTTGACTCCACACCTCTTGCCCCCTGTTGTTACAAGCCACTAATTTGTACCGCTAGTCCCTCGCCCGGCTGTTCTGTTAGCTGTACTCACTCCCCTGTAACTGGATTTACTGCTAAGTACTATGAATTAACTCGTTAGGTCAGGTATTGGTTGTCAGTGGGTGACTTGGTTTAGATAATAAAGAATCGTTCTCTTACTTTTGTTTAATTTGTTTAAGTTGCATGGCTGGAGAGTTGTAGGAAAACGTCCTTGGTACAAAGTATCAGTATAACTTCTCGGTCAAAAAGTCCTTTTGTAGTAAAAACTGATTTAGTTATATTTATTTGACAAAAATGATTAAAAAACATGAAGAAATCAAATACACGTACAATGACAGAATAAATTTTTAAATTGTTGTTTGAATCCCATCTTCTCCGGATGATAAACCTTTCAGTTTGTTAGAACATATTTTATTCAGTGTTGAAATGGATTGGGCACAAGTTATGTAACTTATTACCGCCTGCTCCCATATCAGAAACATGAACAATAATGATTGGACGTAATGGATGGACATAATAATATTGAGACATATTATTGATTAATTGAAGCGCTTACTTCGTACAATGTATGTATGCACATGTCTAAAGATATTTTCATTGATAGTATTTGGCAGAGCAGGGTTGCCGTAAAGAATGGTATCAATGTCGAACTGTACTTTTGATAGTTCAAAGTCTTTCTTCAGATCAAAACGGCAACTGACAAATTTTGGACATTTTAAGAAGAAATGGTTAGCATCTTCCACCGGAGCACTACAATTGCAAGCTCTACTCTCTGATAGATTAACACGAAACAGATCTGCTTGTAATGAACTACACGACTGTCTTAACTTCGTGTGTAGTATATTTGTCTTTCTTTTGGAACCTTGTCATTATTTCCAGAGAACTTTGATTTAAACGATGATAATGAATTTGTACATTGTGTTGTAGAGGAGAGAGCATTCCATAAACTTGCAGAATCATAAATAAATGACTTTTGGAGAATTGAGGTGCGAAATTTAGGAACAGCCAAATCTGATTTGTTACGCAAGTTGTATCCGGAAATGGTTTCAGTAAAAGGTGTGAGTGAATGAGTTTAGTTTTATGCCGCTTTCAGCAATATTCCAGCAGTATCACGGCGGGGACACCAGAAATGGGCTCCACACATTAATAATGTGCCCATTATCCCCTAAGTACCGGGAGTCACCTATTCAAAACCAACACCCAACCTAACGAGATAATTGATAGTAGCAGTTAATCCAGTTACGGGGAGTGAGTACAGCTAACAGAACAGCCAAGCGAGGGGCTATAGAGGTACAACTTAGTGGCTTGTTGTGAGTGAGTTGAGTTTTACGCCGCACTCAGCAATATTCCAGCTAAATGGCGGCGGTCTGTAAATAATCGAGTCTGGACCAGACATTCCAGTTATCAACAACATGAGCATCGATCTACGCAATTGGGTACCGATGACATGTGTCAACCAAGTCAGCGAGCCTGACCACGCGATCCCATTAGTCGCCTCTTACGACAATCATAGTCGCCTTTTGTGGCAAGCGTGGTTTGCTGAAGACCTATTCTACCCCGCATCTTCAGGGGTCTGGTGGCTTGTAACAACAGGGGGTTATGGGGACGGGGGCTAGAGGAATGATGACGTTTTCTTTACTTGTGTTGTGTTTTATTGCTTTCGCATTCAAATATGGGAATAATATTTTTTTTGCACAGGTATCTGGTACAAAACAAGTGTATCCACTGCAATCTCAACGGTACATCGTATTATCGGGGAACTTACAACTCTTGCAGCCACTATAGTGCACCGAGTTATCGTGGCTTTCTCATCTTTCCGAGGTACCCATTCCCAGCTGGATGGACTGGGACACAGAGTCACAGTACTTTGTTCAATTTAGTGCACGTTGCTGTACCGGCAACTAGGTGTTTTCACGTATTCATGTGCCCACCATCTGGTCATATACCAACGGATTCGTGGTTTCTTGTAAGTGCACAGGGTTGTGTACTGGGTGACAGGCCGGGAAAGCCACATTTAATAAATGACTTTTGCCGGGAAGGCCACATTTCAATTACATGGCTGTAGCCGGTAAAGCCACATTTCCAATAGATTAATTAATTAATGGATTACCATGGATAATTTTTATTTCACAAGAAACGAATATTTTTCTTACTCACAAGCGTGGAGTTTAGCAATACCGGTAAAAGACTATCCCTATTTATGATTCTAAACCACATTGTATAATATTGATTTCACAAGAAACTAATAATCTGTCCTACTCACAAGCGTGGTGTTTAGCTTCTTCACTCATTGTTTATTACTGAAAATGGTATATGTCGAGTGAAGGTGAGTTTTTTAAAATCTTATATTATCCTTTAGATGAACTATTCATTTCACTGGTCCATGATTGTAAAAACTGGTCTTTCAGGATTGATTCAGATTTTGATATGATCCAGGATTGAGTGTAATGAAAGGGGTTTACAAATACAGCCGCATTTACAAAATATATGTTTCACATGATTTAGCCAGGGAGCATCATCCATAATATAATCTAGAATGAAAGCTGCTATTTTGTTGTTTGGATGAGAAAATTTCAATTTGCACCAATAAGTAATTAATCGTTTAGAGACTTGGAGCTGAATAGGTTGCCTTCCAAGTTCTCCATAAACCATAAAGTTCGGGGTGTTTCAACTAAACCATTATCATTATTATTATGTTTTACAGATTAAGATTTATTATTATTTTGTGATATTATTATTATATGTAATATACTTATTAGTATATTATATTGTGCTAAGTATAGAAACAAAACCTGTTGTGATCTGAATAAAGTTACGAGGAAACATGTCTTGTTTTGTGAAATACCATATTCACTAAGCATGTCTTGACAGCATAGCCGGGAGAGCCACATTCCATGTTCACGCAACCGTAACTATTGCCGGGAAAGCCACTTCAATTTAGACTATCTGTTTCGGAAATGTGGCTCTCCCGGCCTGTAACCGTGTACTGTACACTAGGGGTTGTTACAACACAGAAAGAGTCTGCACAGGTGGGTTCGATCCCGACACCTCAACCTTGCTGGATCACGAGCCTTAGCCAGCTCGCCCACCACGCCCCCGTTATAATACTAAATGTGTTGATACTAAATCCCTTTGAATAGAATGATTTTTGTCATAATTCCATGTATTTATCGCATGTTAAGAAATAATGTACAGCATTTTCGATCTTATGACCACAAGAGCAGGAGGGGCTATCGACGATATGTCTGTCAGTGAGTGAGTTTAGTTTTACACCTCACACAGCAATATTCCAGCTATATGGCGGCGGTCTGTAAATAATCGAGTCTGGACCAGACAATCCAGTGATCAACAGCACGAACATCGATCTGCGCAATTGGGAACCGATGACATGTGTCAACCAAGTCAGCCACCCTGACCACCTGATCCCGTTAGTGGCCTCTTACGACAAGCATGGGTTAATGAATGCCAATATTCTAACCCGGATCTTCACGGGTACATATGTCTGTCAAACCTATGGTCATTCAAATCACTTTAATGGAACCTGAGGCGAGAATGGATACTTTGACATATTCTTGCGCCATAGTTTCGGTCCAAGATAATAGTTATCTTTTTAGGTCTGCATAACGATTTTTTTAATCGGGATAAAGTATCGATATTTTGAATTTCAGTACTAAGTGAATTTCATTGTTATTTTGTATCCGGTAAGAATGATCTGACGTATGTCGGCGTTCTACATTTAACTGTTCGCACTGATGAAATTCCCCAGAGGTTATCATCATTAGTTTTAGGTATTGTAGGTACGAGGTTAAATAGATATTGAGGCGAGAGAGTATTTATTCATTTTATAAAATTAATGTATTTAAGAGTTATGCATGACGGAATGTTGCAGGTACAGGCAGAAACAGTGTCTATTTCAAGGGAGATTTCCGATATTGTTTCCTGCAATAACGACCTTCTCTGCGATTCCCTAGATTCAGAATTTATAGTGTAGAGAATGGAATGGACTTAGGAATTGGAATGAGTGGAACATACACACATCTTGTACTAAACAAACCAGGTGCCCACCTTTAAACATAAAGTAAATTGACAGTTTGTTAGCAGTCCGGGGGGACACTTTCCCTCCCGCCCCCAATTCCTTACACCTCTCCTGCCCTGGAGGGAAGATAAGGCTAGTGGCACACACATGTGTGTCATGTCACCTGTATGTTACTCCACCTGTATTAGTGTCATGTCACCTGTATGTTATTCCTCCTGTATTAGTGTCATGTCACCTGTATGTTAATGTCACCTGTATGTTACTCCACCTGTATTAGTGTCATGTCACCTGTATGTTATTCCTCCTGTATTAGTGTCATGTCACCTGTATGTTACTCCACCTGTATTAGTGTCATGTCACCTGTATGTTATTCCACCTGTGTTAGCGTCATGTCACCTGTATGTTAGTCCACCTGTGTAAGTGTCATGTCACCTGTATGTTATTCCACCTGTGTTAGTGTCATGTCACCTGTATGTTATTCCACCCGTGTTAGCGTCATGTCACCTGTATGTTATTCCACCTGTGTTAGCGTCATGTCACCTGTATGTTATTCCACCTGTGTTAGCCTCATGTCACCTGTATGTTACTCCACCTGTGTTAGTGTCATGTCACCTGTATGTTATTCCACCTGTGTTAGCGTCATGTCACCTGTATGTTATTCCACCTGTGTTAGTGTCTCATGTCACCTGTATGTTATTCCACCTGTGTTAGCGTCATGTCACCTGTATGTTATTCCACCTGTGTTAGTGTCATGTCACCTGTATGTTATTCCACCTGTGTTAGCGTCATGTCACCTGTATGTTATTCCACCTGTGTTAGTGTCATGTCACCTGTATGTTATTCCACCTGTGTTAGCGTCATGTCACCTGTATGTTATTCCACCTGTGTTAGCCTCATGTCACCTGTATGTTATTCCACCTGTGTTAGTGTCATGTCACCTGTATGTTATTCCACCTGTGTAAGTGTCATGTCACCTGTATGTTATTCCACCTGTATTAGTGTCATCCCATCTGTATCGGTGTTGTGCCGTGTTTATTAATGTCATTCAACCTGTATGAGTGTAGTCTATTCTGTTAGAATTGTATCATATTGTATCAGTGTCATCCATAACATATTACACCTTATTTGGAATAAAATATGTCAAATTGTTGTTATTCAACGTTGCAATATTTTCATTCAGAATCTTTGCAGGATTATTTAGAATACAATGTATTCATAAGTCGAATCATGCGATGCCACCTTATGTGAGCGTCAATGCGTTTCGAGACACCATAACGTGAATAACGAATGACGGGAGGGTGCAGTTGGCATTTTTACATATGAAATATCGGTCATTCGTCATTTGCTGACATTCGTCTTTCACTTAAAGATCAACTCTTAAAGGTACCGCGCAGTTGTATCTCCTAACACATATAGAGAAAATGTTTATTAAAGTGTCACAGGGTTTTGTAATGGAATACAATGTAATAAATACATACATTGAATGTAAAAAGCACCCGGACGTGTGGCATATGAGACACTAAAGTACTAGAATATCACAGCAATAAAATAAGAAAATACAATCACACAGAAGTTAGAACCACACTGACGCACGCACACTGACGCGCAATCATGCACTCACTCACGCATACACGCAATCAAGCATTCACCCACATTAGCAATCCGGTAATCACGCATTCACATACACAACCACAGGCTTACACTATCTCTCTATGAAGTACTCACACAATATGTAGGCTACACATACAAACACAACAAGGTACCTACGCGCACTTACATGCACATGTATATGCAAACACTCACATACATGCAAACATGCATACTTACATGCAAATGCTACATACTATTAGAATAACAAGAAAACAAAAACAAAACAGCACTCACATACATACATAAAAGTATAGAAATATATATACGATACACTAAAAACTGCACACTCTCTGCTTGCGCCTTGTTATACTTTGCATACATAAAGCTACCAGCTGCCTTGTCGACTTTTACCTCTAAAGATTTATAGAGGTAACCGCTACCTTGTGGAGTTTCATCTCTTAACACACACAGGTACCTACTACTTTGTAAAGTTTGATTTTCTAACTCATATAGAGGTAGCCGCGGCCTTAAAATTGTAGAGTTTTATCTCCAAACACATGACTAGTCACAAGTTGCACTATAGAGTTTTAGTTTGTCTTATTATGGCCAAATACGACATGAAATATTTACGAGAAAAAAATGTTTTTGTTACACACACATCGTTCCGTCAATGTATGCACATGTACAAATATATTAGAAATAAAACTGGTACATGCGTTGAATGAACTTAGTTTGTGTTAGATTTTATTCATAAATTTATAAATTCGCAGCACGAAATAGTTCTGTAAACATTAATTTATTTATAATCCTGGCGACGATATGTATCTCATGTATAAGTTGTAATAAATTCATTTAATAAAGTCTCGTCAATGCAACTACGAAAATATATTACAAATATATCTACATATAACATTTGTAGCATGACTTCAAATTTGTAAGACAAAAAATCGAAACTACACTGGGTGGTGCGCAAAAAAAGTTCTTTATTCTAAATTCATATGTCATTGTGGAATTATTTTTACCCATTCAGTTATAATTTCTCATAAATATATCCTGAGGTTAACATATAGTTTCATTAGTTGCCGTGTGAATGACAGCATTATATAAACGATAAAAGGGCTGTGGTGGATATAACAGACATATATACACATATATACGTCATGTCGTGTATATAACAGAGTTATATGCACGACATGGTCTTGTCGTGTATATAAGAGCATTATATACACGACGTCGTGTATATAGCCACAGCCTTGAGTTGATAATATTGCTGAGTTTGTAAGGAAAAGCACGGTTGGCTACACCGACTGGGAACAACCAATCAGATAATATGTTACATGCCATGACTCATATTTCCAAGATGGCAACCTTTCTGGCTGTCAACTTGGTGAAGTATCTGTGCACTTGCGCGAAGCGCCAGCCTATATGTAGATTATATTTGTGTCGCCATTGCTTGAAATTGCGGTGTGGGGAGTGCGTGCAACATGAGGTTCGTGGTTTTGTTCTTTTACGATGTGTATTATTCCAGCAAAAAGGTCCATATTTTAGACGCCCACTTTTCGCGCACCTGTAACACCGGATCGAATAATTTATTATCATGTTTAACTTGCTTTCATTTATCTTTGAACTCTTCACAGGTTGACACGCCGTACTGCCCGAACTGTTTGGAAAATCTTCCCTCTGCTGAAGCCAAAATGAGGAAAAACAGGTATGCATGACAGTCGAATGAGGCGGGGCGGTGGGGTAGCCTAGGGCCCCTAGGCACATTGCCGTCCGGTAATTCCGCGCACCTCAGCATATCGATCGCAACACAGCAACTAACGTCTCTTATTTCTTGTGGTTTACGTGACTAAACATGCTGGTATGCATCGTATTTACGTTGAAATATAAGTTTTATTGACTATAAGATTCTAACGTTGCATTATGCCATACTGTTGACCTTACCGGCGTTCTGACGACATCGATTGCTGTCCGGTAATTCTACGCAGCAACTGATGCGCATAACATCCAGTTGGAGAATCCGAAGTATGGAAGCGTATTAGGGCCAGATTATTTTCAAAAATCACTTCATCAATGTAAGGAAGAGTGTTTCATATTAAATCCAATTATGAATAATGAAGAAAAAGGTTTATAAGTCTGAAGAAAACGAAGTTTCATAAAGCTGTCAATTTATCTAACATAACATAACATATGTTACATTTGGGATTACACTTTCTTAGTAAAGTACAAATTCTAGTACTTTTTGAGTTGAGCCCCATCCGGGATTCGAACTCACACCCTCAGAGTCAGGCACCTAATCGCCAGTACACAAAGTCAGCCACCTAACCCACTCAGCTAACGTGACTTCCACAAGAATGGAAGTCGGACAACTGGTAGTCTAGACTGCGGACTTTGTGTACCCCTCTGATAAGTGTTAATTGGCACGGCTCCCACGGCCGAAAGTTATGATTACATAATGCCATTTAGAAAGTGATCAAATGTAACATATGCTACATTTGAGATTACACTTTCTTAGTAAAGTATAAATTCTAGTACTTTTTGAGTTGAGCCCCATCCGGGATTCGAACTCACACTCTCAGAGTCAGGCACGTAGTCGCAAGCACACAAAGTCAGCCACCTAACCCACTCAGCTACCTGAGCTAACTGAGAACATAGGCCTCAAAATGAACCATTTCACCAATGCACAAGTGTACCACAAAACCACGTTGAGATGATATCAATATCTTGAAAGTGAGTGCTTTTGAAAATATCATGACTTGAAATATATATAATATGACAAGAAGTACCACTCTTCAATTAACAACATTGACATAATCCTTGGTAATATACAGCAATTTAGTTTATCCCTTACCTGACTGAAAGACAGTAATCATTATCTTCCTTTTAGTTGCAAAAAGGGGATATATAAAAAAAGAAATGCTTAAAATGTATGTGCTTTCAAATATCAGAATTTATTCATACAGCATTACCCTTTTTACAGTGCACAATGGCCTCTGTATTTGGAATACTAGCCATGAAAAACCTTTGAGCTCATAGGATTGAAGTGTGTAGTAAATCATGTGTGTTGAGACATATGCCTAGTAATCACATATTAATTTTTGTGACACAGCAAGTGGTGTGTCATGCATATTGTGTTACCTGTCTGGTGGATCTTGTTTGCCAGGAATAGCTGCAAGATTGCGGATGCAACATAAAGCAACTTTCACTCATTCACTGATGGATCATGTAGTGTGACACATGCATAGTGTATTGCATTGTGGTTATCTGTGTATTGTAGTTTCCTTCCTGTCATACTTCAGATGTAGCAACTGTTTTGACTGTCCAAGTTGTGGCCACACGTTGATGACCCGTGCCACCAGTCTAATGGTAGCAAACCCTGATGATGCCAACAAGTCAACTCCTAAGAAGATGTACTACATGGCCTGTGGCTTCTGTCGCTGGACAACACGGGATGTGGGACTAGCTGACCAGCTCTCTTGTAGGTTTACCAGGCCTATGTACAGCAAACCTAATACATTCTATATTTTTGTATGTGCTGTCAGCATTTTACCATTCCTTACAATGATGTTGATGGTCTATGTGATTACTTTATTTCTGTCATATCTAATGTTTGAACTTATGCAAGTTTAGTGTAAATTATTAGTGACAATAATAAGCAAGTTAATTTTTTTGCAATGATCATTTTGTTTTTCAATATTCTTGATTGTTCTTATTATTTCTTTTTAATTATGTTTGCCAGTTTTCCCGTTTAATTTGGATAAGTTTGTTTATTGGTGAATGAATGTTTGTTGCAGCAAGTGGAGGATGGCAGGACCAGGAGAATGAGCAAGCCAAGCGGGTAAGGCTACACTCTTCTTGGCCCTAAGTCCAACAGCAAATGTAAAATATCCCCTTTTGACAGCATTTCTTTTCTACATTTCCAACAAAGGATGTTTATTCACATATGTGCTCCACATCTTTCAGATAAACTCCCTGTTGGATTACCATCGCCAGATGTCCCAGCGAGAGAAAGCAGAAAAGGAGCGCAAGAAATATATGTTAAGCGAAGGACTCATCTTTACTATTCGGTGAGAAATTCAATTCCTTCACATGTGCTATGAGAAAGACATCACAGTGGATGTTGAAAACATTTGAGTGTTGTCCTTTGTAGTGCCGGAGCGATTAATCGTAGGATCAGTTAATCGTTTGATCTAAGGCAAAATATGCGATTGTCGATTACAAATAAACTGCAGCTCGATAATCGGAAATAATCATTATTTGGATGCACATACATTAAAACGTTTTACTTCTTAAACGGAAGCTATGTACTAGACAAGTGTGCATGCCTCCCGTCAGCCAATGGCAATGCTTGATATATTTAGACTGGGGTGTCCCTTTCCCCAAAAGGTCATAATAGATCATTGAAATATTACGAGTTGACAGGTGCTGATAACCAGAAGTTAGTTCACTAACATAGGTATTTGACTATGAAATGACCATACAAGCGATTATGTCGATCGATTATCGATTTGACACTAGCGATTACCGATCTGACAAAAGGTAAAATAATCAGCTCTAGTCCTCGTCTTTATCATGGTTATAGTGTTACCTATCTGGTGGATCATACCATATCAGTGTTTATAACATAGCATAACAGATATATTACATAATAGATGTTTTGGCAGGTCCATGCATCTTACTCATGCCTATGCTGTAAAGTGCTTGTGAGTAGTTTCAGGAAATTATGTTACTAAACTTGCAAAACACTATAGCCCCCCAACTAGAGTTACTGCCTTTATATCAACATTGCATCCAAGTGTTTGTTAGAACATGTTGAATGTGTTCTGTTTGAAATAGAAGCTAAGTTTGTTAACATGCGTAATGATGCTTCTCTAGGATAAGTATGGGCTGACATCTGTAGCTGCTGCCAAGAGAAAGTCCATTGCTGCAATGTCAAATCTGAGGTGAGTAGTAATATCACAACTCTATCACAATAATATTACATCATGTTTTACATTCAACCCAGTACTTATGATTTTCTAGTTATTGTGGCAATGTGGCTTGAAAACCTCTCATTTATCATGTTTATTGAATATAAGACACAAATAATTTTAAGTGTGACAGCTTGAGATGAGGCTTAAAATATTGTTTTGAGGTACAGATGACCAGACAAACCCTAATGTAATAAGGTGCCAGTCTTAGGTTTGTTTCCAGTGCTGGTTGCTGTTTGTGACATGATGTAATATATAATAATAATAATGTGTCCATTTATATAGCGCCAAACTCCACACTAGGTATGCTCATAGCGCTAACAATCAAGGCACAGCACATTATTACCCCAGATAACCCAAGCTGCCTGTTAGGCGCTAGGAGGTTATAGTCATATGACTTTTTCTGCCGGGTACCCAATTTCCTGCTGGGTGAACAGAGACAATTTTGAACAAACTCAGTTGCCTAAGGTGAGACCACATGTGTCACATGTGTAGCCGTTGTGGGGCAGGACTCAAGTCCTAGAAACTCTCAGGAGTCAAGCTGCCAAACACGGTCACCCATCCAAGGCCTCTCGAGCTCAGCAGCTGCTGAACTTCACCCGATTTGTGACCTGAGCTTTTGAGCACAGGACCACCCGCCATCGCCATGTAGTGCACAAAGCACCACAATTAACATACTGTTCTCCTTTCAGTAGTGAGTGAGTGAGTTTAGTTTTTACGGCCGCACTCAGCAATTTTCCAGCTATATGGCGGTGGTCTGTAAATAGTCGAATCTGGACCAGACAATCCAGTGATCAACAGCATGAGCATCGATCTGAGCAATTGGGAACCGATGACAAGTGTCAACCAAGTTGACAGCGAGCCTGACTATCAATCCCGTTAAGTAAGCCTCCCACGACAAGCATGGGTTACTGAAGATTAATATTCTAACCCGGACCTTTACAGGTCCCTTTCAGTAGTTCTCCAACACAGTAGCACATTCCTATCCTATAATGATGATGCTGATATTAATTTTCATCAGAACCTCAAAATTTTCAGCACAACCATGTAACATTAGTGATTGAAATATTTATGTAAATCCTGATAATTTCAGTATTAAGGATGGGGATGAAACACCTGCCCCTGTTGAGCCCGGGGAGACTGTAACAGACTTTGATCCCCTACCCGAGGAGATTTTCACTGAAGCTGTGGATTTATCTAAAGGTAATGGGAGACCTGCAATACCTATCCATGCCATCAATGTGTAACTGTGTCTTAATCACATTTAGTGGTTGCCTTGGTGACTCCAACTTCCTGTTCAACATAAAGGTTTTAAGTCATACATGTAAACTGTATGTAAACATACATGCCACCAAATAAGTGCCTCTTAAGAAAAGGTTTTAAGTGCTGTTGATATATTCTATTTATGTATATATTTAACAGAAAAGTAAATATGTGACTGAATATCTGGATAATGTGTTTGGGTATTTGCCCCTCCACTGTCCATCACTAAGGTATTTGTGTACTGATTCAGCGTCAAACATGAGGCAGAGACTGGCCACTCCTGAGTTCCAACCAGCAGGTGCCCAGAATCTGTACCCTCAGCACAAGCACCTGTTGATCAGGAAGTCACTCAGGTGCAAGGTGAGGAGGACAATCATGTGTTTGAAGAGCCTTATAATCTGATAACAGTTCTGTTGTGTGTAAAACAGTTTACATATCTAACTAACTATTCAATGACAGAAAGAATATGACATGTTTGAATTGTAATTCACAACCTCTATAATACAGTGAAGCCTCGTTAATCCGGACGGTTGCGTTTCTCAGCAAATTCGTCCGGATTGCGAATAGTCCGGACTACTGAATCAAGACCCAAGTTCAAGCAAGAGTTGCTTCCCTTACTATTACAAAAATGACACGAATCTGGATAAAACAAATAAGCATTTAATGTAAAGCTTATAAAACAATGAATAGCAAGCACAACAATAATCTATAGTCATAGCAAAAAGTCTTTCACTGTTGGTTGTGTTCGTTTAACCTTCCTCATTGAATTCATCACATGAATAATTTTACCGAGTGACATCCGCATGTTGATCCGACGTGTCTGATCACGTCCTTCCTCAGCACAGGTGAGGTAATGTCTAACAAGCAATCTATTGTAGTATGCCTTGAATGTCCGAATTAAAACAACAACCCTTAATAGACATTTCTCAACAGTTAACAAGAGCTCATCTTGTCAACTCCATGACCCCGAGTTTTTATTGTTTATGGCCAGTTACATAAACATCGCCGTGGGGTGTTGTTATGGTTCGTGAACACGACTTACAGCGTCCGGACTGTGAAGCAATTTACTGTTTATTTTACTGATTGGTTACAGCTACTTACCGTCCGGTTCTGGAAACCGAATTTCCGGATTATCGAGGCAAATTAAATAGGCATAGATTGGTAACAAGCTAAAATCGTCCGGGAGGTGAGACATCCGGATTATCGGAGTCCGGACTAACGGGGCTTCACTGTATATTGTTGATGGATAGTTTGATACCAGTGTTTAAAGCTTCTTCTGTATGATGTTCTACAGGAGTGTGAACATAACCTGAGCAAGCCAGACTTTAACCCAGTCTCCATCAAGTTCAAGATCCAGCTTATAGCACTGTAAGTTGCACACACATAGATTTGACATATATAAAGAAATATGTAGTAACATTTTGTCTTGTTTACCAGGATATAGAAATAAGGTAAGATTTGCTAGAGTTGAAGAAGGATGGGGCAAAAGTCATGTTTCCATTATTACTTTATTAATATAGTTTTGTCGTTCCTAAACATTTCTGTATTATAATATATGTTCATGGCTCTTTATTTACCTTTAGGAACCATGTCCCAGAGATCCGCATCTTGTCACCAGCTGTCTTCCTGCCTCAGAAGGTGGGTGTTACGTTACTTTTCTTGCCCTTCAACAAGTTCTTTTTTCTTCATTTTTTAGCTGACCAGACTGAAAGTCTACTGAGCTTATGTCGTTGCCTGTTTGTCGAGTGTGTCATTGACACAATTGAAGCAATGAATCAGGATCTTGTCACACTCGTTCCCACCAGCACCACTAATCAATCACACCTTAGTTTGAGGTTCTGATCAGCCAACATGGCAGCTTTGAAAAACCCATTATGGGCAATTTCTCATCAACTTTTGTTCAAAATGATCTGACATTTGCTACATACATGGTTAGTAATTGGACTTGACAAATTCTGTAATAATGCATTCATGGCTATTACACTGGTGAGCTACAGTACCATCCCAACTGAAACTTCAGAAAGGCTCTCCATGCATGTAATTCAGTTATGGTGACAAGTGTAACTTTAGTAAATGGACAAATAGTCAAATTTTGGATTGAGAATATTTTTTACTTCTCATGCTTATTGCTACAATACATGGATTACATTTAACTCTGTTCTTGTTTCACATTATAGCAACGCTTGAATTAGGATGGTAAGATGGTAATATATAGGGTATTTCAGAGTGGAGATTGTCTTGTGTCCCTGCCATGATATTGCTGGAATATTGCTAAAAGCAGCATAAAACTAAACTCACTCACTCAGAGTGGAGAAAAATATTACGATTTTAGTGACACTGTCATTATATGGACAGATGCTTCAATTATAAAAGTGAGTGAATGAGTATGCTTTTATACCACTTTTAGAAAGTTTTCACCACTCTCACTGCAGGGAACACCAATAATGGGCTTCACACATTGTACCCATGTAGGGAATCAAATCTGGGTCTTCAGTGTACATTTAACCACCAGGCTACCTGATCTCCATCTTGATAGAAGGGATTCCAGGACAGAGTGATTTTAGAGTGTACAGTTCTTTATTTGTAAGGTGTTGGTTTTACCAGCCAAAGTATTAAATTGACATTACGTGGTATGAGTGAACTTACTGAACAGTCACAGTCCCTGCTGATGGATCTTGATGCTCCATGATTCTACGTTGTTTCTTCTTCAACAGGAGACCCTGGTCACGCTGACACTGAGCAACCCATCAGTGTACAATACCACGGTGCACTTTCTGTCGCTGGATGATGAAAACGAGACTGGAGACGAGGTCAATGCCAAAGTAAGTGTTATTATCACAGCAAAACGTTAATGTTTGTGTTTAGGTGCATTACACTTCCTCAAGATAAATTTAAGAATGGATTTTCACTTAGTCTGTGCTTAATAGAGTAAGAACCTTCATTGAGTGCTGTTGATCACTCGATTGTCTGATCCAGACTCCATTATTTACAGACCGCCGATGTATAGTTGGAATATTGCTGAGTGTGGTGTTAAACAACATCCAACCCAAACAAACACAGTCATAGAGTGACGGCTAACCTGTAAATGTCTGATCTAGCAGCGACATTAATTCGGTGTTAAGTGGTTAGAGATTCTACCTTGTGACGACTATTGTGTATCTGGAATGCTGTTTACTGACATACTGTCCTTGTACATCTTCAGTGTGAGCTGCCAAAGGGAGAGCTAGTGATAGCGCGACGTGATGATGCTGCTATATACGACGATCAGAACCAGCTGCAGCAGGAGTTCAAGGATGATCCTGGGTGAGTCTCAACACTGGGGAGAAGCTGTGCTTCAGTTTACAATAACATGATCATCATCAGAACATGGGTCTTTGTATGCAATAACGTTCTCTCAGTCTGCGACTTCAGCCACTAGTTCAAAACCGGAGACTAGCTAACTTAAGTTTGGTTGAGTAATCAGAGCTGATAGGTGTTTTATCACCGAATTCCACTGAAACTGATGCAAAATGCAAAGAGGCAAGTTCAACCCAGTGCGCATAGATAAGCTATATCACACTTTTCCTGAGATTTACAGCCTCTGCCTTGTTGTCTGCCTTCAGTTTGTTGAAACCTCTACATACCAATCAGCAAAATTCTGTTTTGTCATAGTTGTTGACGACTCTGCGCTAATAAGACATGCTATTTGCTGTTTGATTGGATTAATGCAAGGTAAGGCTTAGCCTACAATACATCTCGACATCTGATGATCTCTGCAATAACTCCATGTAATTCAACTGGTGCTGGAGGGAAGGCGCGTTAATATGGAGTCACACCTTTGGCTACAGGCCAGCAGTCGAAATATTTTGGAGGTGGATGAATTTGAAAATTTACGGTATCTATGTTTCTCACTGAGTGACCCACAACGTAATGTGTCATTGACTCATGGATACAGACTTCACATATTGCTTTAATGGCAGGCAATTGTAGGGCTAGCACAAATAGTGCAGTAGCATTCATTATTCATCATGATGATCATCATCACCATCATCTTCAGTTTTTAAAATCATTTTTAACACCCTAGGCTCTTGTTGGTAGCAACATGTTGTTTGAACAAGGAGTACAGCATATCAAACTTGTTACACATCTGAAGATCAGATTTAACACATCTTTAATAAAAAGAATTTGTGTTCATGGTTACAAAGAGCCTCAATTCATTTGTATGATTAGAATAGTAGTACAGATACAGATTACTATACCATGTAACAGTTATATGTAGTTTGGGGTGAAAAGAGAATCTACTGGCAAACAAGGATAAGTTGAGCACAGACCTGACAATTGACCTGTATTAGCATGTATAAGTGCCTCTAACTGGCTTGCCATTGTTAGCGAAGGGGCCCCTGGTTGTCTGCGATCAAGTGTAGTCGCGATGGGTGAAGCCCGTAGGCCAAACATAGAACTCCACACACTACAGAAGGCTAGCTTCAACTGACTGACAGTACCATCCCAGTCTTTCAAGCATTTCTCCACTGCATCAACTTCCCTGTAATTCTGCTGCAGGTGTAAGGAATGTGTAGTTGAAACATATGTTATATTTGGGATTAAGCTTTCTCAGTAAAGTACTGACTGACTGACTGAGTTTGGTTTTACGCCGCTTTTAGCAATATTCCAGCAACATCACGGCGGGGGACACCAGAAATGGGCTTTACACATTGTGCCCATGTGGGGATTCAACCCAGGTCTTCGGCGTGACGAGCCAACGCTTTAACCATTAGGCTACCCCACCGCCCCTTCTCAGTAAAGTAAGATTCTAGTACATTTATTAGGTTGAGTTATATCCAGGATTCAAACCCTCTCGGAGTCACGCTCCGAATTGCCAGCACATGAAGTCAGCGATCTAACCCACTCAGCAACTGTGGCTTCCTACAAAAATGGAAGTCTAACAACCAGTAATCTAGATCATGTACTTTGTGTACCCCTCTGACAAGTGTAAATTGGCACAGCTCCACATTTGACACTATGGTGAGTGAGTGAGTTTAGTTTTCGCCACACTCAGCAATATTCCAGCTATATGGCAGTGGTATGTAAAGAATTGAGACTGGACCAGGCAATCCAGTGATCAACAGCATGAGCATCGATCTGCACAATTGGAAACCGATGACATGTGTCAATCAAGTCAGCGAGCCTGATCACCTGATCCCTTTAATCGCCTCTTACGACAAGCATGGGTTACTGAAGATCAATATTCTAACCCGGATTTTCACGGGTTTTGACACTATGAATACACAATGCTATTTAGAAAGTAGTCAAATGTAACTTATGTTATATTTGGGATTACACTTTCTTAGTAATGTGTAAATGAAAGTTGCTACTGTATAGCCATCAAGTAGATGTTAATGTTACAAAGTGTACATGTTTCAGTCTTTTATCATAAGTAAAGTATGAATCTCCATGATCTAGGGACTATTCCTAGTCAAGGCCCAGATCTTTTCAGTACCTCTTGTGACACTGAAACAGTGTTTGTGATTGAGGTAATAACTAACGCTTCCTTGATATACAGAATAATGTATAGCGAGAAGACTAGCAAAAGTGTTCATATAAAGTCAGTTTTGTTCGGACTGCCAATTAACCCAAGCCTCATCCCCCTTTAATAGTTGTGTGTATACCCCACTTTTGCTGAGCAGAAGTTTGATGTGAAGATTGGACGATCAACCGTATCTGACATCCTGAAGCAGTCTGCTCAGTGGTTGAACGTCTCTGCGACTGATTCCAATGCTTCAAGCTATCTGAGGCCAAAACATCGTTGAACACTTTGCAAACATTTCTGACACACCACTTAGACGTGTTTGATGTTAATGACCATCAAAGACTTTTTCAAGTTATAAATTATATATGTTTTCATACACGCCTGATTGTACATTAGACGTCCACATGTTATTATGGAATTAGTTGTATGGAAACTGTAACATAATCAACATCCAGGTCATAATGGCAGCTGATATGCGGTAAAACAAGCGTGAGTTTTATTGCCAATGTGGTCATAAAATAGATATGAAACTGTTAAGCTATGTGATTACATATGTATGTTATGCCATCTATGAATGTTAATAAATGAAAACAAGTATGTATTGTTAGTATTTTTTATTTCTGTGAATATTTTTACATACGATGAAGATAACTAGATCTACCATTTCTGATATGCATGCAACAGTATGGCGATCATGACATTTAGTAAACATTGATATTTTCACACAAATACACTAATCCGACATTTTTAGTTAATCCGACATTTTCGTTAATCCGACATATTTCTCTACAACCACAAGTGTCGGATTAGCGAGTTGACTAATACTTTGTTTTCCCCTTCAGTTGTAACCTCATATTCTGGGATTTATCTATTATTCCAAATTAAGGTCCCTTGTTAAGACAATTGGAAAGGGGACGGTCAGGAAGCCTTGTGGTTAAAGCATTAAGCTTCGTCATGCCGTCGCGTGGGTTCGGTTCCCAACATGGGCACATTGTGTGAAGCCCATTTCTGATGTCCTTGTCATTGATATTGCTGGAATATTGCTGAAAGCGGTTTTAAACTAAACTCACTCACTCACTAATTGGAAAAGATCTTTGTTTTCTTCAAAATAGGGATTGTTTTAGAGATCATATTTTTACCTTCATTCAGATGTATTACTTCCGTTTGTAGCACTGCATTTAGTGTGGTAATGTTTGACAAAGTTTTAGAACCTCTCCTTCCATATTTGTCCTGTTATGAAGAAATACACCTCAACAAAGTCATAATAACAGGTATTAACCACAAGAGGATTAACGAGAAATTCTGGATTCCAATTTGTAAACTTTTACACATATTTGTTGCAGACTTGGTTTTATGGTTTACTCCTAAATTATCTTTCATGGCTTTTGTTGATGTGGAGTAGAGTGTGTTGACGAGACATTAGTAAAGTTATTAAGATGGAAACAAGAGGTAACTAAGACTGAATATATACTTTCAGGGTGATATACAAATTTGCTTGCCCGACAGAAAAAACACTGGACTCGGACGCCGGGCAATGGGTTATTTCCCACCCCTGTGAAATACATTTACATCTCACATGTTTTCAGTTTAATTTGCATGTCCCTCTTTATTATTGTGGGTAGGTGTATGTAGTAATGGATTAAATGTTTCAGAACCACGCACTGTGTTCAAATATTTCTAAGTAGTCAAGTCGATTGTGTTGAGAACTGTATTATAACTATCTCTGAATAACACCTATAGGAATGTGAGTGAGTTGGTCTTAACGCCACTGCTACCAGTATTCCAGTTATGATCATGGTGTGTCAGGGTTTATGTGTGGAGGAAAGCAATTCAGTTCTCAGACATTTACCACTTTGGTGAAGATGGTGAAACCAACATGTATGTGTGTGGTACTGACAAAACAAGAAACATAGTCAGTGTGAACTGGGATTGAAATCATGAGTTTCTAGCATGCCCACGGAACAACTTTGCAAAGTGAATGCAATGCATTTGATGTTGGGTCATTCATGGCTTTCACTGAATGCCAGCCATGCTTGGTAATGGTCTGGAAAAACACTCAAAACAAATGTACCACAAAGTGTATGGAGCTTTTTTCCACCACAATCAATGCCAACAAATATAGGTAAAATACACAGAAAATATCAACTGTGATGTAAATGGTTGATCTTATGAAGAGTGCTACAGGATTACCTGGTCAGGGGCATTTAGTATGGTACATTTATACTGTATTCTAAGTTTGGGTGTTTGAAATAACATATTTCTACTCGTTTTTTACCTCATTCACAGCATCTCCCATACTGCGACACAACTGAGGTATTCCAATTTGGGCCCTTCTAATACTTTGAACACACGCAAAAGCTGAAAAACAATACACATGATGAAACATTCATGATATACCATGTAAAATTATGGAATTTAGTCTGTATCATATTGTTCCACTGTACTGTAATTCATGGCATTTTTAAGACATGGTTGTCGATCGTGCTTTTCTGTTTATGAAAATCTACCCTCAGCTAACTGCCACAGTTCAACTTTTAATAAACATACCTGACCTAAGTGATTGCATCCCCAGCTGACTGAATGACGGATCACGTCCAACGTTCATTGATAATATTGCTGAGTTTGTAAGGAAAAGCACGGTTGGCTACACCGACTGGGAACAACCAATCAGATAATATGTTACATGCCATGACTCATATTTCCAAGATGGCAACCTTTCTGGCTGTCAACTTGGTGAAGTATCTGTGCACTTGCGCGAAGCGCCAGCCTATATGTAGATTATATTTGTGTCGCCATTGCTTGAAATTGCGGTGTGGGGAGTGCGTGCAACATGAGGTTCGTGGTCTTGTTCTTTTGCGATGTGTATTATTCCAGCAAAAAGGTCCATATTTTAGACGCCCACTTTTCGCGCACCTGTAACACCGGATCGAATAATTTATTATCATGTTTAACTTGCTTTCATTTATCTTTGAACTCTTCACAGGTTGACACGCCGTACTGCCCGAACTGTTTGGAAAATCTTCCCTCTGCTGAAGCCAAAATGAGGAAAAACAGGTATGCTTGACAGTCGAATGAGGCGGGGCGGTGGGGTAGCCTAGGGCCCCTAGGGTACATTGCCGTCCGGTAATTCCGCGCACCTCAGCATATCGATCGCAACACAGCAACTAACGTCTCTTATTTCTTGTGGTTTACGTGACTAAACATGCTGGTATGCATCGTATTTACGTTGAAATATAAGTTTTATTGACTATAAGATTCTAACGTTGCATTATGCCATACGGTTGATCCTTACCGGCGTTCTGACGACATCGATTGCTGTCCGGTAATTTGTGCAGCAACTGATGCGCATAACATCCAGTTGGAGAATCCGTAGGAAGCGTAATAGGGCCAGATTATTTTCAAAATCACTTCATCAATGTAAGGAAGAGTGTTTCATATTAAATCCAACTATGAATAATGAAGAAAAAGGTTTATAAGTCTGAAGAAAACGTAAGTTTCATAAAGCTGTCAATTTATCTAACATAACATAACATATGTTACATTTGGGATTACACTTTTCTTAGTAAAGTACAAATTTAGTACTTTTGAGTTGAGTCTCATCCGGGATTCGAACTCACACCCTCAGAGTCAGGCACCTAATCGCCAGTACACAAAGTCAGCCACCTAACCCACTAGCTAACGCGGACTTCCACAAGAATGGAAGTCGGACAACTGGTAGCCCTAGACTGGCATGGACTTTGTGTACCCTCTGATAAGTGTTAATTGGCACGGCTCCTGCACGTAACAAAGTTATGATTACATAATGCCATTTAGAAAGTGACCAAATGTAACATATGCTAAGCATTTGGAGATTACACTTTCTTAGTAAAGTATAAATTTAGTACTTTTTGAGTTGAGCCCCATCCGATTCAAACTCACACTCTCAGAGTCAGGCAATCAACGCGAAGCACAATAAAGTCAGCTATCTAACCCACTCAGCTACCTGAGCTAACTGAGAACATAGGCCTCAAAAATGAACCATTCTCAATGCAATGCACAAGTGTACCAATAAAACCACGTTGAGATGATATCAATGTCTTGAAAGTGAGTGCTTTGAAAATATCATGACTTGAAATATATATGTATGAAAATAAGTACCACTCTTCAATTAACAACATTGACATAATCCTTGGTAATATACAGCAATTTAGTTTATCCCTTACCTGACTGAAAGACAGTAATCATTATCTTCCTTTTAGTTGCAAAAGGGGATATATAAAAATATATGCTTAAAATGTATGTGCTTTCAAATATCAGAATTTATTCATACAGCATTACCCTTTTACAGTGCACAATGGCCTCTGTATTTGGAATACTAGCCATGAAAACCTTTGAGCTCATAGGACTGAAGTGTGTAGTAAGTCATGTGTGTTGAGACATATGCCTAGTAATCACATATTAATTTTTGTGACACAGCAAGTGGTGTGTCATGCATATTGTGTTACCTGTCTGGTGGATCTTGTTTGCCAGGAATAGCTGCAAGATTGCGGATGCAACATAAAGCAACTTTCACTCATTCACTGATGGATCATGTAGTGTGACACATGCATAGTGTATTGCATTGTGGTTATCTGTGTATTGTAGTTTCCTTCCTGTCATACTTCAGATGTAGCAACTGTTTTGACTGTCCAAGTTGTGGCCACACGTTGATGACCCGTGCCACCAGTCTAATGGTAGCAAACCCTGATGATGCCAACAAGTCAACTCCTAAGAAGATGTACTACATGGCCTGTGGCTTCTGTCGCTGGACAACACGGGATGTGGGACTAGCTGACCAGCTCTCTTGTAGGTTTACCAGGCCTATGTACAGCAAACCTAATACATTCTATATTTTGTATGTGCTGTCAGCATTTACCATTCCTTACAATGATGTTGATGGTCTATGTGATTACTTTATTTCTGTCATATCTAATGTTTGAACTTATGCAAGTTTAGTGTAAATTATTAGTGACAATAATAAGCAAGTTAATTTTTTTGCAATGATCATTTTGTTTTTCAATATTCTTGATTGTTCTTATTATTTCTTTTTAATTATGTTTGCCAGTTTTCCCGTTTAATTTGGATAAGTTTGTTTATTGGTGAATGAATGTTTGTTGCAGCAAGTGGAGGATGGCAGGACCAGGAGAATGAGCAAGCCAAGCGGGTAAGGCTACACTCTTCTTGGCCCTAAGTCCAACAGCTAATGTAAAATATCCCCTTTTGACAGCATTTCTTTTCTACATTTCCAACAAAGGATGTTTATTCACATATGTGCTCCACATCTTTCAGATAAACTCCCTGTTGGATTACCATCGCCAGATGTCCCAGCGAGAGAAAGCAGAAAAGGAGCGCAAGAAATATGTTAAACGAAGGACTCATCTTTACTATTCGGTGAGAAATTCAATTCCTTCACATGTGCTATGAGAAAGACATCACAGTGGATGTTGAAAACATTTGAGTGTTGTCCTTTGTAGTGCCGGAGCGATTAATCGTAGGATCAGTTAATCGTTTGATCTAAGGCAAAATATGCGATTGTCGATTACAAATAAACTGCAGCTCGATAATCGGAAATAATCATTATTTGGATGCACATACATTAAAACGTTTTACTTCTTAAACGGAAGCTATGTACTAGACAAGTGTGCATGCCTCCCGTCAGCCAATGGCAATGCTTGATATATTTAGACTGGGGTGTCCCTTTCCCCAAAAGGTCATGTCGTCATTGAAATATTACGAGTTGACAGGTGCTGACAACCCAGAAGTTAGTTCACTAACATAGGTATTTGACTATGAAATGACCATACAAACGATTATAATCGATCGATTATCGATTTGACACTAGCGATTACCGATCTGACAAAAGGTAAAAATAATCAGCTCTAGTCCTCGTCTTTATCATGGTTATAGTGTTACCTATCTGGTGGATCATACCATATCAGTGTTTATAACATAGCATAACATATATATTACATAATAGATGTTTTGGCAGGTCCATGCATCTTACTCATGCCTATGCTGTAAAGTGCTTGTGAGTAGTTTCAGGAAATTATGTTACTAAACTTGCAAAACACTATAGCCCCCCAACTAGAGTTACTGCCTTTATATCAACATTGCATCCAAGTGTTTGTTAGAACATGTTGAATGTGTTCTCTTTGAAATAGAAGCTAAGTTTGTTAACATGCGTAATGATGCTTCTCTAGGATAAGTATGGGCTGACATCTGTAGCTGCTGCCAAGAGAAAGTCCATTGCTGCAATGTCAAATCTGAGGTGAGTAGTAATATCACAACTCTATCACAATAATATTACATCATGTTTTACATTCAACCCAGTACTTATGATTTTCTAGTTATTGTGGCAATGTGGCTTGAAAACCTCTCATTTATCATGTTTATTGAATATAAGACACAAATAATTTTAAGTGTGACGCTTGAGATGAGGCTTAAAATATTGTTTTGAGGTACAGATGACCAGACAAACCCTAATGTAATAAGGTGCCAGTCTTAGGTTTGTTTCCAGTGCTGGTTGCTGTTTGTGACATGATGTAATATATAATAATAATAATGTGTCCATTTATATAGCGCCAAACTCCACACTAGGTATGCTCATAGCGCTAACAATCAAGGCACAGCACATTATTACCCCAGATAACCCAAGCTGCCTGTTAGGCGCTAGGAGGTTATAGTCATATGACTTTTTCCACCGGGTACCCAATTTCCTGCTTGGTGAACAGAGACAATTTTGAACAAACTCACTTGCCTAAGGTGAGACCACATGTGTCACATGTGCTTCGTTGTGGGGCAGGACTCAAGTCCTAGAAACTCTCAGGAGTCAAGCTGCCAAACACGGTCACCCATCCAAGGCCTCTCCGAGCTCAACGCTGCTGAACTTCACCGATTTGTGACCTGAGCTTTGAGCACAGGACCACGCGCCATGCGCCATGTAGTGCACAAAGCACCACAATTAACATACTGTTCTCCTTTCAGTAGTGAGTGAGTGAGTTTAGTTTTACGACGCACTCAGCAATTTTCCAGCTATATGGCGGTGGTCTGTAAATAATCGAATCTGGACCAGACAATCCAGTGATCAACAGCATGAGCATCGATCTGAGCAATTGGGAACCGATGACAAGTGTCAACCAAGTTGACAGCGAGCCTGACTATCCAATCCCGTTAGTCGCCTCTTACGACAAGCATGGGTTACTGAAGATTAATATTCTAACCCGGACCTTTACAGGTCCCTTTCAGTAGTTCTCCAACACAGTAGCACATTCCTATCCTATAATGATGATGCTGATATTAATTTTCATCAGAACCTCAAAATTTCTCAGCACAACCATGTAACATTAGTGATTGAAATATTTATGTAAATCCTGATAATTTCAGTATTAAGGATGGGGATGAAACACCTGCCCCTGTTGAGCCCGGGGAGACTGTAACAGACTTTGATCCCCTACCCGAGGAGATTTTCACTGAAGCTGTGGATTTATCTAAAGGTAATGGGAGACCTGCAATACCTATCCATGCCATCAATGTGTAACTGTGTCTTAATCACATTTAGTGGTTGCCTTGGTGACTCCAACTTCCTGTTCAACATAAAGGTTTTAAGTCATACATGTAAACTGTATGTAAACATACATGCCACCAAATAAGTGCCTCTTAAGAAAAGGTTTAAAGTGCTGTTGATATATTCTATTTATGTATATATTTAACAGAAAAGTGAATATGTGACTGAATATCTGGATAATGTGTTTGGGCATTTGCCCTCCACTGTCCATCACTAAGGTATTTGTGTGTTGATTCAGCGCCAAACATGAGGCAGAGACTGGCCACTCCTGAGTTCCAACCAGCAGGTGCCCAGAATCTGTACCCTCAGCTACTGCAAGCACCTGTTGATCAGGAAGTCACTCAGGTGCAAGGTGAGGAGGACAATCATGTCTTTGAAGAGCCTTATAATCTGATAACAGTTCTGTTGTGTGTAAAACAGTTTACATATCTAACTGACTATTCAATGACAGAAAGAATATGACATGTTTGAATTGTAATTCACAGCCTCTATAATACAGTGAAGCCTCGTTAATCCGGACGGTTTGCGTTTTCAGCAAATTTGTCCGGATTGCGTAATAGTCCGACTACTGAATCAAGACCCAAGTTCAAGCAAGAGTTGCTTCCCCTTACTATTACAAAATGACACGAATCTGATAAAACAAATAAGCATTTAATGTAAAGCTTATAAAACAATGAATAGCAAGCACAACAATAATCTATAGTCATAGCAAAAAGTCTTTCATTGTTGGTTGTGTTCGCTTAACCTTCCTCATTGAATTCATCACATGAATAATTTTACCGAGTGACATCCGCGATGTTGATCCGACGGTTCGATCACATCCTTCCTCAGCACAGGTGAGGTAATGTCTAACAAGCGATCTATTGTAGTATGCCTTGAATGTCCGAATTAAAACAACAACCCTTAATAGACATTTCTCAACAGTTAACAAGAGCTCATCTTGTCAACTCCATGACACCGAGTTTTTATTGTTTATGGCCAGTTACGTAAACATCGCCGTGGGGTGTTGTTATGGTTCGTGAACACGACTTACAGCATCCGGACAGTGAAGCAATTTACTGTTTATTTTACTGATTGGTTACAGCTACTTACCGTCCGGTTCCGGAAACCAAATTTCCGGATTATCGAGGCAAATTAAATAGGCATGGATTGGTAACAAGCTAAAATCGTCCGGGAGGCGAGACATCCGGATTATCGGAGTCCGGACTAACGGGGCTTCACTGTATATTGTTGATGGATAGTTTGATACCAGTCTTTAAAGCCTCTTCTGTATGATGTTCTACAGGAGTGTGAACATAACCTGAGCAAGCCAGACTTTAACCCAGTCTCCATCAAGTTCAAGATCCAGCTTATAGCACTGTAAGTTGCACACACATAGATTTGACATATATAAAGAAATATGTAGTAACATTTTGTCTTGTTTACCAGGATATAGAAATAAGGTAAGATTTGCTAGAGTTGAAGAAGGATGGGGCAAAAGTCATGTTTCCATTATTACTTTATTAATATAGTTTTGTCGTTCCTAAACATTTCTGTATTAAATATATGAATATTTTTGCAAAGATGTTCATGGCTCTTTATTTACCTTTAGGAACCATGTACCAGAGATCCGCATCTTGTCACCAGCTGTCTTCCTGCCACAGAAGGTGGGTGTTACGTTACTTTTCTTGCCCTTCAACAAGTTCTTTTTCTTCATTTTTAGCTGACTGGACTGAAAGTCTAGTGAGCTTATGTCGTTGAGTGTCATGTTTGCATCAATGAATTTCTTGTCAGTGTCATAAGACACTTAAGGTTCTGCAGCAATGAATCAGGATCTTGTTCAAAATGATCACTTGCTTCCCACCACTAATCTTTACCTCCTCGTAAATCACACCTTAGTTTGAGGTTCTGATCAGCCAACATGGCAGCTTTTGACAAACCCATTATGGGCAATTTCTCATCCACTTTTGTTCAAAATGATCTGACATTTGCTACATACATGGTTAGTAATTTACGCTTAGGGATTTTGAACAGGAAAATTCGACATTAGAACAGAGGTTTGTAATAAATGCATTCATGACTTGACAAATTATTAATAGTGGTGAGCTGACAGTACCATGCCAACTGAAACTTCAGAAAGGCTCTCCATGCATGTAATTCAGTTATGGTGACAAGTGTAACTTTAGTAAATGGACAAATAGTCAAATTTTTGGATTGAGAATATTTTTACTTCTCATGCTTATTGCTACAATACATGGATTACATTTAACTCTGTTCTTGTTTCACATTATAGCAACGCTTGAATTAGGATGGTATTGATAAGATAGTAATATATAGGGTACTTCAGAGTGGAGATTGTCTTGTGTCCCTGCCATGATATTGCTGGAATATTGCTAAAAGCAGCATAAAACTAAACTCACTCACTCAGAGTGGAGAAAAATATTACGATTTTAGTGACACTGTCATTATATGGACAGATGCTTCAATTATAAAAGTGAGTGAATGAGTATGCTTTTATACCACTTTTAGAAAGTTTTCACCACTCTCACTGCAGGGAACACCAATAATGGGCTTCACACATTGTACCCATGTAGGGAATCAAATCTGGGTCTTCAGGGTAAATTTAACCACTAGGCTACCTGATCTCCATCTTGATAGAAGGGATTCCAGGACAGAGTGATTTTAGAGTGTACAGTTCTTTATTTGTAAGGTGTTGGTTTTACCAGCCAAAGTATTAAATTGACATTACATGGTATGAGTGAACTTACTGAACAGTCACAGTCCCTGCTGATGGATCTTGATGCTCCATGATTCTACGTTGTTTCTTCTTCAACAGGAGACCCTGGTCACGCTGACACTGAGCAACCCATCAGTGTACAATACCACGGTGCACTTTCTGTCGCTGGATGATGAAAACGAGACTGGAGACGAGGTCAATGCCAAAGTAAGTGTTATTATCACAGCAAAACGTTAATGTTTGTGTTTAGGTGCAGTACACTTCCTCAAGATAAACTTAAGAATGGATTTTCACGTAGTCTGTGCTTAATAGAGTAAGAACCTTCATTGAGTGCTGTTGATCACTCGATTGTCTGATCCAGACTCCATTATTTACAGACCGCCGATGTATAGTTGGAATATTGCTGAGTGTGGTGTTAAACAACATCCAACCCAAACAAACACAGTCATAGAGTGACGGCTAACCTGTAAATGTCTGATCTAGCAGCGACATTAATACGGTGTTAAGTGGTTAGAGATTCTACCTTGTGACGACTATTGTGTATCTGGAATGCTGTTTACTGACATACTGTCCTTGTACATCTTCAGTGTGAGCTGCCAAAGGGAGAGCTAGTGATAGCGTGACGTGATGATGCTGCTATATACGACGATCAGAACCAGCTGCAGCAGGAGTTCAAGGATGATCCTGGGTGAGTCTCAACACTGGGGAGAAGCTGTGCTTCAGTTTACAATAACATGATCATCATCAGAACATGGGTCTTTGTATGCAATAACGTTCTCTCAGTCTCTCGACTTCAGCCACTAGTTCAAAAGCTGAGTGTAGCTAACTTAAGTTTGGTTGAGTAATCAGAGCTGATAGGTGCTTTATCACCGAATTCCACAGAAAATGATGCAAAATGCAAAAGCAAGTTCAACCCAGTGCGTATAGATAAGCTATATCACACTTTTCCTGAGATTTACAGCCTCTGCCTTGTTGTCTTTTCCTTATCCTGACTCATGCTCTTTTGCTTGTCTTCTTCTTCTTGCATAACATAGTGGAACACTTGTATCTCCTTATTTGAAGCCCTTCAAAATAAAATCACTAATTGGTACTCACCACGAAGTTGCTTCCCTTTGTCTCCCCTGATGGAAAAGGTGTCGCCACCTTCTGCCCATGTGCTTCACTCTCCTTCTTCGCCCAGTGAGCAGGATGTGAGAGCCACCTCGTGTCTCCTTACACACCATATCCTTTGATAATCTCTTAGTTTTACCCTCATAGGTTACTATAGAGGTATAGCTAGTATCCTTTACTATTTGTATTGATTAATTATCGTGATTTCTACCGTTTATTCACGGTATTCGCGGATTGTTCAGCTAGCTTTACGCTGATGAAAATCTGTACGATTTGTAGATTACGCTTTTCTGCCTCCCGATCCACATGTAATATGCCCTAGTTGTTCTAATGCGGTAACGCTTAATTCACGCTGCAGTTACTGCATTAATTTATCTCTTTCTGCATTTAATAAATATCATCTTAAGGCGTCTTTAAGACGCGGCTGCAGATAGATCACGCAAACAAGGGCAAAACATGGCAGAGAGTCCAGATATTCCATCCAGTCAGCTGCTAGCGATCGACCCTCTCCCGCCTGGTGTTCTGCTAGAGACCCCATGTAGAGGAACGCGGGACGCAGTCCGTTACCTCGAAGAAACGACCGCCTCCCCAGACATCCCGCCATTGCAGACCAAGTCTAAGAGGGCCTCATCGCCGTCTCAACGCAGATTGAGGACACCCAGGGCAGCGCAGACTTCCAAAGGAAAATCTACGAAGACAGCAGAACTTTCAGCCGAGATCGCTCCAGCAGCAGAATTGGGTCTCTACGATGATCAGCCGATAATCATCCCCGACTTACGGCAGAAGAAGCGCACCGTGTCAGCGACTGTGACTTCTGCAGAGATCACCATGCAGCCTGATGCCTCTACACCGACGCCAGACGCTATTGATGTGAACCCCATCGCAGAGAAGACGCCGACGACTTCGGCTACAGATCATCCCAGAAGACATGATGCGCAGATTATGAACATCATGGAGGACCACTACAAACTGCAGAAGCAGGGTCCGAAGTTTCGCGAAGGCTCCAACGACAGCACCCCAGAGGCACCCCCCGCCAACGAGCAGCTAAGACGATGTCACCTTCGCGAAGGAAGTCCCGGACCACCTTTGACGGCGACCTAGATGTACAGCCTTCGCTAAGGCCTTCGCTGGGGATAGATCATCACCATCTTCGATTTCATCTCTAGATATGGACTCGACCATCAGACATCACGGAGGCCTTCGCGAAGGTCATATCATCGATCCCCGGACCGACGCTAAATGAAGCTTCGCTAAGGCATTCGCGAAGGACATATGATTCCAGATCCTCATCATCTAGAAGAACATCGAGGGACTATAGAAGAGCTTCATGGCTATCAACGCTCACCTCACAAGTCTCGGTAGAAGATCATCCCATAGACGCATCTCCACTTCGCTCATCACCAGGTCGATCACCCGCCAGATCTCCACATAGAGCCGCGACAAGTCAACTAGATCGCCACAAACCTCATCAGATATACAGACAGCTACACGCAGTCCCGAAGAGCATCAACAATTTGTTAATGATGATGGTATTGAGGATGATGGAGGAATCATATTTTCTGATGCAGAGATACGGTATTGGATGGTCAATAACCTAGATCTCACATCACCATCTAAAAGTGGCAATACAGCGCAGACGATTTGATGAAGGAAGACGATCCAGATGCAATCACTCTACCCCGATCGACCCGACAAGTGCAGTGCCACAGAATCTAGATGCAGCTTTCCAGAAAGCTACGAAAAGTTCAGACACCACATCTGCCCAACTTTCATGCCAAGAAGTTCTCCACGATAACATGGACTCCTTCTACAAAGCCCAGGACATCGATGAGAACTATAAGATCATCAGCTTATGTAAAGAACAAGATTTACAAGATGGATGATCGCAAGTTGGCTCATATAGAAACCATGACGAGACGATGTTCTTTGGGTTAAATAGATCTAGGACTCCATCAATGAGACTCTTATTACTAGATTCCGGGATTCCACGACGGAAGATGATAGAATGATTTATTCTGCCTTACTTATGCAAAAGAAAGATCAGCAGTTTTAACGGATCATCTTACATCTGTTTCAGCAGCACTGACCTTTAGCTCGTCAGTCAAGGCCTCCTCGCTTCCTGTAATTGGGGAGAACTTTACAGCCCCACTTTATACAGCCCTTGGTCGACTACAACATCCATCTTTGACGGAGAAATCGACAAAGTCGCCAAGGAAGTCTCTAAGGATTCCAGGGAAGTCCTTATGATTAAATCGATGGACACACTAGCCAGCCATTCATTCGGATCAGACTTCACAAAGATACTCAGGCAGATCTAAGTTCACGGGCCTACAAAGAGCAAGAGACAGGAAGATAGCCAGCTCTAGAGGTAAAGATTCTTTTTCACGCCCATATGGCAACTATAGAGGAGGATCAGGAAGAGGCAGGACACCCAGAGGTTCCGCAACTATAGACGCTGAAACACAGGTTCGAACCACTGGAGTCTTCCACCCCAGCCGCTCCAGTACAGCCAGCACAAGTGGGTGGACGCAACCAACTACACTGGGAAAACTGGGGAATATTGCAAGACCCCTTACGCCTCCAACATTCTTCAACACGGATTTCAGATCCCACTACAGGCCAAGCCTCCGCTGACAATCAAACCCCCAAGTTCGATTTATAAGCGCCCAACAACTACCAAAGATAAGAGAGGCTGTTTCATCACTCCTATCCAAACAGGCCATAGAAGTAATAGATCAAGAAATACAAACGCCGAACCAGGTTTCTACTCCCCCAGTTTTCCTAGTTCCCAAGAAAACTCCACGGAGAAATACAGACTCATCTACAACATGAGCTTTTTCAACAAGAATTATCTACGCAAACCAATCGGGTTTCAAGATGATACATTTACCTCAGTTACGCCAGATGATTCGTCCTATGGACTACATGGGCAGCATAGATCTACAGGATGCCTACCTGCACATCCCCATTCATCCCGATTCCAGGAAATACCCACGATTTACTCTAGAAGGGCTACATTACCAGTGGAAAGTAATTCCCATTCGAATATCATCAGCCCCCTGGCTATTCACGAGGATAACGAAACCGATTATCATATTTCTACATCGCCAAGGGCTACGAGCGCTTTACCTCGACGACGGGATACAAGTAGATCAAGATCCACAGCGCCTCAAACTACAGTTAAATTACATCATAAAGCTACTAACACAACTAGGTTGGTTAGTAAACTTACATAAGTCGGACCTAGTACCATCGCAGAAGACCTGCAGTTCCTAGGTATTCGATTCATCACAAATCGCGAACCGTATTATGGTACCAGAAGACCGTTGGCTCAAGATACAACAGACCATTCCACCAGTTTCTACTCTCTCCGCTACCACTTCGACAATGGCAGAGCCTACTAGGTCTTCTCACATCAGCCCAAGACATGACTGTCACAGGCAGATTACAGTTACGCCCCCTACAGGTCTCATCAACGACATCTCAAAGATGTACAACCATTCAGTCTACCAAACATCTCAGACCTCATCTACTATGGTGGACCAAGAAATCGAATGTCTGCGAAGGGATTTGTTTAGCAGAGCAGGAATACAAAACCCATCTGTATAGACGCCGTCACCCAAGGTTGGGGAGCTCATCTCACCAACCACACGATATCAGGATTATGGAATCAGCAAGAATGCAAACTCCATATAAACAGTCTAGAAATGAAAGCTGTAATCAACGCCATTCTACATTGGAGCACATTTCTACAAAATGCGCATCTAATGATCCATACAGACAATTCGACAGTGGCGTTCTACATAAACAAGCAAGGCTCAACGAGATCGATGAACCTTTTGAACCTAAGTTTTCAACTGTTCGATTTAATACAAGATCTAAATCTACATGTCAGAGCAGTGCACATTCCCCGAGCCAGAAATATACTAGCAGACGCTTTCTCTCGCCTCATCTACCATCACCACCGACAGAGTGGATGATCAACAGGGAAATATTTGCACAGATAATCAAGCAATTAGGAGCCGCTAATAGACCTATTCGGCCACGCGATTCAACAATCAGCTACCGACATTCGTGTCACCAGTCCCAGACCCCAAGCTTGGGCAACGGACGCTTCTAAGTCTATCATGGAAGGCCTCAACGCGCATCGCAGTTTCCGCCGCCAGCAATAATACCTCAAGTATTACAGAAAATCAGACAAACACAGAGCCTACAACTCACTTTGGTCGCTACCAACTGGTCGGCCAGAACGTGGTTTCCCACACTAATTCAAGAAATCGGTCAACCAGCACTGGAGCTACCCAAGCGAAACCTGTTAATTCATCCTCACACCAAACAAGTGCACGGAAACCCAGCAATGTTCCAACTACACGTATGGACTGTATACAAATGTGTTTAAACAAGAGAGGATATTCTGCCAGGGCGGCAAAAGCAGTCACGCTTTGCTTTACGTGCTACTCAACTCGTAACTTGTATGACACGACAAGTGGCACAGTTTCAAAATTATGCAGCAAAGAAAGGTTTTACAGCAAGAGAGGCTTCACAACCTCAAGTGGCAGACTATTTGTGTTACCTGCCTAGCAAAACAAACATTTAAAAGGTTCAACGATATCAACATATCTTGTCGCGCTTTAGTTCTGTAATCACCATGAGAACGGGTGTCAAATTGACAAGATCTCCAGAGTTACTGGCCTTACTTCACGAAAGCATTCCGATTGGAGGACCAAAAGCGGAAGTTCCACTTCCAGCTTGGGATCTGAATGTAGTGTTACAACACCTCACGAAAGTGAGGTCTATGAACCTTTGGAATCAACAACTTTGAATTTCTCTCACAGAAAACACTGTTTCTGCTATCTCTAGCCACGGCAGCAAGAATGTCTGAAATTCACGCCTGGATTACGAGAGGATACAGTTTGATGACAATCATAACACAGCGCACCTCGGATTAAGATGGGATTTCATCGCTAAAAATCAACTGCCAGGTCAACCAGACAGATTATTCCACATCCCGGCGCTATCCTCTATTCTCGGATCACAAGATACACAAGACCTATCACTGTGTCCAGTAAGAGCGCTCAAAGTTTATTTTACGACCATCCAAAACAAGGAGAAGATTTCTCAAACGCTTATTCATCCCCTTATCGCCTACTTAATCAAACAGAAGTGTCAATGGACCACAATATCTATTTGGATAAGGACTGTCATTCTCCTGCGTGCCTACAAGACAGCAGGCTTGGACCCACCAACAGCATCAAATCCACATGAGATCAGGGCACTGGCCTCCACCCTCGCCCTACACGGTAACTGTTCCTTGAACACGATTATGGAAGGATGCTATTGGAAATCTAACATGGTATTTGCTAATCACTACCTGAGAGACATCACTACAGAAGATGTCTCTGGCATTCACCATTTCGACCACTGGTCCTCGCCAGCAACTGACAGTCCCTCAGAGGGCTTAAATATTATCCTCACAAGATTAATATGTATTTTATACATACTTATCTAGCTTATAACTCTACGGAGTTTTAGGGCTATGTATATATGTTCAGCTTAAGTTATTCAACCTTAAGCATATACTTTTGATATATTCAATTTCAGTGCCTCTATCAGAGTCACCTATATATATATATATATTATATGTATTGTTCAATATATTCATAATGTAATTCCCCTTTAATGGCTTTTATATAACCTATGGTTTTTATACAGGAAACATCCTAAATCTAAGCCTTCATGAAGTTCCCGAGGGGATATTACAGTATATCTATACAAAATCACTAATTATAAATCCAAAGTATTCTGTTACTCCCACCTCCATCCGTAGGATGCTACAAACAAAAGAGCATGAGTCAGGATAAGGAAAATATGTAATTTTGGAGTAAAATTGATATTTTATACTTATCCTGACTCATGAGGTTAGCTCCATCCCATCCTCCCCACATAACACTTTGGATTTCCCTGTAAGTCCAAGTGTTGGGCTCGCAAAATCAGGAGAGAGTGAAGCACATGGGCAGAAGGTGGCAACACCTTTTCCCGCCAGGGGAGACAAAGGGAAGCAACTCGTGGTGAGTACCAATTAGTGATTTTATTTTGAAGGGAGCTTCAAATAAGGAGATACAAGTGTTCCACTATGTTCGCAAGAAGAAGAAGACAAGCAAAAGAGCATGAGTCAGGATAAGTATAAAATATCAATTTTACTCCAAAAATTACATTTTAGCACCCTAGGCTCTTGTTAGTAGCAACATGTTGTTTGAACAAGGAGTACAGCATATCAAACTTGTTACACATCTGAAGATCAGATTTAACACATCTTTAATAAAAAGAATTTGTGTTCATGGTTACAAAGAGCCTCAATTCATTTGTATGATTAGAATAGTAGTACAGATACAGATTACTATACCATGTAACAGTTATATGTAGTTTGGGGTGAAAAGAGAATCTACTGGCAAACAAGGATAAGTTGAGCACAGACCTGACAATTGACCTGTATTAGCATGTATAAGTGCCTCTAACTGGCGCTTGCCATTGTTAGCGAAGGGGCCCCTGGTTGTCCGCGATCAAGTGTAGTGCGATGGGTGAAGCCCGTAGGCCAAGCATAGAACTCCACACTACAGAAAGGCTAGCTTCAACTGACTGACAGTACCATCCCAGTCTTTCAGCGCATTTCTCCACTGCATCACCTTCCCTGTAATTCTGCTGCAGGTGTAAGGAATGTGTAGCTGAAACATATGTTATATTTGGGATTAAACTTTCTCAGTAAAGTACTGACTGACTGACTGAGTTTGGTTTTACGCCGCTTTTAGCAATATTCCAGCAATATCACGGCGGGGGACACCAGAAATGGGCTTTACACATTGTGCCCATGTGGGGATTCAACCCAGGTCTTCGGCGTGATGAGCCAACGCTTTAACCATTAGGCTACCCCACCGCCCCTTCTCAGTAAAGTAAGATTCTAGTACATTTATTAGGTTGAGTTATATCCAGGATTCAAACCCTCTCGGAGTCACGCTCCGAATTGCCAGCACATGAAGTCAGCGATCTAACCCACTCAGCAACTGTGGCTTCCTACAAAAAATGGAAGTCTAACAACCAGTAATCTAGATCATGTACTTTGTGTACCCCTCTGACAAGTGTAAATTGGCACAGCTCCCACATTTGACACTATGAGTGAGTGAGTGAGTTTAGTTTTACGCCACACTCAGCAATATTCCAGCTATATGGCAGTGGTATGTAAAGAATTGAGACTGGACCAGGCAATCCAGTGATCAACAGCATGAGCATCGATCTGCACAATTGGAAACCAATGACATGTGTCAATCAAGTCAGCGAGCCTGATCACCTGATCCCTTTAATCGCCTCTTACGACAAGCATGGGTTACTGAAGATCAATATTCTAACCCGGATTTTCACGGGTTTTGACACTATGAATACACAATGCTATTTAGAAAGTAGTCAAATGTAACTTATGTTATATTTGGGATTACACTTTCTTAGTAATGTGTAAATGAAAGTTGCTACTGTATAGCCATCAAGTAGATGTTAATGTTACAAAGTGTACATGTTTCAGTCTTTTTATCATAAGTAAAGTATGAATCTCCATGATCTAGGGACTATTCCTAGTCAAGGCCCAGATCTTTTCAGTACCTCTTGTGACACTGAAACAGTGTTTGTGATTGAGGTAATAACTAACTGCTTCCTTGATATACAGAATAATGTATAAGCGAGAAGACTAGCAAAGTGTTCATATAAAGTCAGTTTTGTTCGGACTGCCAATTAACCCAAGCCTCATCCCCCTTTAATAGTTGTGTGTATACCCCACTTTTGCTGAGCAGAAGTTTGATGTGAAGATTGGACGATCAACCGTATCTGACATCCTGAAGCAGTCTGCTCAGTGGTTGAACGTCTCTGCGACTGATTCCAATGCTTCAAGCTATCTGAGGCCAAAACATCGTTGAACACTTTGCAAACATTTCTGACACACCACTTAGACGTGTTTGATGTTAATGACCATCAAAGACTTTTTCAAGTTATAAATTATATATGTTTTCATACAACGCCTGATTGTACATTAGACGTCCACATGTTATTATGGAATTAGTTGTATGGAAACTGTAACATAATCAACATCCAGGTCATAATGGCAGCTGATATGCGGTAAAAACAAACGTGAGTTTTGTGCCAATGTGGTCATAAAATAGATATGAAACTGTTCGCTTATGTGATTACATATGTATGTTATGCCATCTATGAATGTTAATAAATGAAAACAAGTATGTATTGTTAGTATTTTTTATTTCTGTGAATATTTTTACATACGATGAAGATAACTAGATCTACCATTTCTGATATGCATGCAACAGTATGGCGATCATGACATTTAGTAAACATTGATATTTTCACACAAATACACTAATCCGACATTTTCGTTAATCCGACATTTTCGTTAATCCGACATATTTCTCTGCAACCACAAGTGTCGGATTAACGAGAGTTGACTGTACTTTGTTTTCCCCTTCAGTTGTAACCTCATATTCTGGGATTTATCTATTATTCCAAATTAAGGTCCCTTGTTAAGACAATTGGAAAGGGGGACGGTCAGGAAGCCTTGTGGTTAAAGCATTCGCTCGTCATGCCGTCACGTGGGTTCGGTTCCCAACATGGGCACATTGTGTGAAGCCCATTTCTGATGTCCTTGTCGTGATATTGCTGGAATATTGCTGAAAGCGGTTTTAAACTAAACTCACTCACTCACTAATTGGAAAAGATCTTTGTTTTCTTCAAAATAGGGATTGTTTTAGAGATCATATTTTTACCTTCATTCAGATGTATTACTTCCGTTTGTAGCACTGCATTTAGTGTGGTAATGTTTGACAAAGTTTTAGAACCTCTCCTTCCATATTTGTCCTGTTATGAAGAAATACACCTCAACAAAGTCATAATAACAGGTATTAACCACAAGAGGATTAACCGAGAAATTCTGGATTCCAATTTGTAAACTTTTACACATATTTGTTGCAGACTTGGTTTATGGTTTACTCCTAGAATTATCTTTCATGGCTTTTGTTGATGTGGAGTCGTGTGTTGACCGAGACATTAGTAAAGTTATTAAGATGGAAACAAGGTAACTAAGACTGAATATATACTTTCAGGGTGATAGCATTCCGGAAGTCCAACAAGATTGGCATCTTCATGAGGGTGAAGCCCAACTTGAAGGACGGAGATGTCAAGGTGAGTAATGATGATTGATTATTGATATGCTTCATTATTGGCCATGTCCATTAATAGTCTTTGTCATATCGATCATGTTAAAGGATTAAGCTAGAATTGGAGTTGCTGCTTCGGTTTCATGGTATGTTTGTGTTTAGGGGCATTCGTCAGTGGACAAACCCTTGGCTATGATAAGAAGATGTTTATGAGAGTACTTTCAAACCATGTATGACTCCTATCAGTTCAAGAATTATTGAATTATTTTGCTGACTTATTGTCCACGAGTTACACAGCCAGCTGGCACCTGTAATGTAACATGATCTGAGAGGAAAATGTGAATATTTTCTGGGTTTTGGACACAGCTGGTTAGAAGAGGAAATAGGAAGTATGACTGCATGCTCTTCTTGTCATAGCTACAGCTACCGAAGTAACAACTGTGTCTCTTAACTGAAGTTACTTAAGCTTGTTCGATTGTGTCACATAGTCTTTGCATGATGAGTTAAATCTGTCAGGCATCAATCTTACCATGTCCTGACATTCCTGGTTAGAACTCAAGGGATGACCCAATGATTATTTGTCAGGCTGGCTGGCTCATAGCTTGTCATTGTTCCCTGTCACATAGATTGTACCTCATAATATCAATCACCGGCTTGTCTGACTCAGACTGGATTATTTGGAGGCCACCATTATCAAGTTAGAAAACTGCTGAATGCTATGGTAAACAGAAAACAGAAAAATATTGAAACATGTTTGTTTCATTAGTCCTCGGAGTTTGTCTGCAGTGTGCAAAGTTCAACCTGAATGTCAGGGTGACCTTGTCATGAGACTGATGTGAAAGGTCAGAATTTAGGAGGGTCCCTTGATTCAGAGAGGAGAGAATCCGCAAAATGGGAGAAGACCTCAACATGCTCAAAGACTGACCCGAATATCAAACTATGGTCTGTACTTATCAGGTCATGTAGACATCAGTAAGGCTCAGATTATAAAAGCTAAATGTTACAAGCTGACATGATTCAGTGAGCTAGATAATAGTTGATAGGAAGACTGTAGTGAGTGGTGTTTTCAGGAAGGGAAGTGTTTGCAGGATGTGTTTGGGATTTCAAAACAAAGCAGGGAATTGCATATTGTCTCCTCGCGGGATAAAAATGCGTCAGAGTTGTTATTATGTGAAAATATTAAGGCTGTAACAATGCATTTAACTATTGATGCATTGCAATTGTTGAGTATAGCACAAGGACAGTGAAACTTGGCCTTTATACAAGCAGGTTTCTATTTTAAGCTTGTATGCCATTTCCTGTTTGTTGTGAAACCTAGGATGACCTAGTGCTCTTACATGGTTCAACCTAACTGTCATTATGATGCAAATGATTAATAACTATGGGACAGTGGGACAGCTTCTAACTGGTCTTCTATTATGGTAATATTTCTAGCAACACCTAAAACTTGACTTTTCGAACGTAAAGATGAAAAGAAACTTAAGTTGTGTTGAAGCTGTGTACATGTCAGCCTTGGGTGTCTTTCACAAGCTGAGGTTACCATGTAGCCTTGAACTTCAATGCATTAGTCTGTGTTACTGTTTGTTACACACAGAGTGAATTAACAGGTGCTCAGATTCTATATGTGCATGTAACATTCATAGGCGGATCCAGAAATTTTCAAAAGGGGGGGGTTCAGGGGGTTCGAACCCCCTGAACCTCACCTTGGCTCTGCCATTGCAAAACATGAACTTCAATGTGGTCTTTAGTAATTATCAGGGTGTGTGTGTGTTGGGGTGGTGGTGGTGGTTTCGAACCCGCTGAACCCCCGTCTGGATCTGCCACTGATATTTGTGCTATTCAAGGTTAACCTCTTTCTGTTTGATTAGATACCAGTGGCCCAGCAAAAATGATGCTTTAAAGGCCATATTGGAATTTGTTTCTATTGCACACAAAAGGCAGAAAGTATTAAATATGAATACATTATAACAGATTGTCACAGGTATCAAAAATCACATTGCATTCTTCATAAGTAATGCGTAGATCTGTGCTATTTTCATTTCTGATGTACCGGTACAAACAGAATAGTGTTGCAACTGGCCATTTTTGTGTCAATTTGAAGTTGAAGTTTTGTTTCAAATGTGTTGGACTTCTAGATTCATTGGATCCTTTGGTTGTGTCATCAGTGTCCTCTTTTACGCATATTCGTAATGAAAAAAATGTGTGTGTTTAAATTACCGTATATGGCTGATCCTTCAAGGGAACATTTTGAAACAGGAATCACAGCATAGCTCTGTGTGCTTCTGATTTCCATGGTCCAAAACATCCAATGTGTGAAGAACTGAGTTTGGTATTGATGTCTAGCAAACAACAACTTGTGTAGCATACTGTACATCAGGGTTGTCTTTCCTTGTTCTGATGGTATCCTTACCCTGCGCGTGAGTCTGATGATCACACAGTTGTTATCAACATCATCATCTTTGGGGAGCAATCCTTTGCTTCCTATTCCCAAAAATAGTCTGTAAGTTTCAGGAAAGAAATAGGACAGGTCTTGAAAAAATGGCCACGCGAAGATCTGGGTTAGAATTGTAACCCATGCGTGTCGTAAGAGGTGACTAACGGGATTGGCTGGTCAGGCTTGCTGACTTGGTTGACACATGTCACTTTTTGTACCTCATTAAAAAAGTAGAATATGGAGTCAAATGCTTCATGATTTTCCAATGCTACCCCTTGAAGACTCAGCTCTGTATTTGACTGACTGACTGACTGACTGACTTCAGTAGGTGTTCAATGACTGGCATTTATCTAGGACCCCATTTGTAGCCTGGGATCAGTTTCCCTTGACAGAAAATAAGTACTTCAATGATCATGACTTAACTATTCAAACCTCCTTGTTGTATGAGCATTACATTACCGATAGGACCATGGTTGCTAGACTGGCAAGTCAGCACTTGAAGCAAGTACATAGTTCAGGTTTTGTGGACCAGTAGACAGAAGAATAGGTGTGTTTACTGTAGACAAGTGAAAGGTGTAAAGCTGTGTTTACCAAGTAGGCAAGCTCTGTGAATAACAGATTGCTACCTTTGTCGCATTGTAACAAGGTATCTGCCTTTCAAGCTGCTTACTTCTTGTCAGGGTCCAGTGATTTCAAGGTGTGTGTCTGTCTGGCAAACTGTATTCAAACTGTCTGTCTGTGTGTCTGAAAACACTGTTAATTTGTCTTGGTATAAACAGTAAACTTTATGTGTTGGAATCGCTTAAAAACTGTCACCATTTAAATAATCAATGAATTTTGTATTGTTTAGGGATTGATTCTATTCACATTATCTTCTTGGAATAATAATCACAGATGTATTTCAACAAGTAAGTTATATAACATGATGTGGAGTAACAAGTCAATCTATTTCTCCACCTCAGTCACCAGTTGTTTTCAACGTGCTCAGAATATGTTTCATATTAAGGAGATAAAGACTTTAGGAGTTGTGGCCAGCTAATACTGAACAGATATCATTTGTTACGATATCATCTTGACACAAACAAACTTGTAATCACTTTCCTCTGCATAGTGTGTTTGTTCAACTGACCTAGCTGTAGAAGGAAGAGCATTATGTTCTGCACCAATGAGGAGCTAGGTCAAGCCATTCTCCTGTTAGTGGGGAAACCCCACCTTATCTATGCCTTGTGACTAGTGGAGTGTATAGGGACATTGTTACACAGTCAAAGTTCAATACAAGATTAGGGCTACACGTAGTAGTTGGTCATCTTCAAAACTAAGATCTGTCATTGTGTTTTCAGGCAATCGTAAATGTTTTGAGTGATAAACATCATTAAAGTTGAGCTCACAAACAAATAATGATAATGATAATAAATGTATATAGTGCCTGACTTCCAACTTAGTAAGTTGTTCAGCTTCACTGAAACTTATGTGCAGCTTGTGGGGTTGATTTCATCATTACTCCTGAATGTGTTCAAAGCTAGAGTAATATCGACTTTTGTCTAAGTAACAGGCGACAATATTAAAACAATGAGTAATTATCAGCTGTATTCAGTTTGAAAACCTGGCTGAAATTGTGCTCCATAGATCAGTTGATCATGCCATTGATATTCTTTAACTTCGCACACCTTCCTACAGTGGACTTCTTTGCCAGTCCTTCACAAGACTGTTTCCATTCTAGTTTGAAAGCTCAATTCTTGTAATAAACACTAAGTGAGGTGAGGTGAAATTGGGTTTAACGTCGCTCTGGAGAATATTTCGCTCATATGACGACGTGCATGCGTGTGTATGTGTAGGTGCGGCTGCTTGTGCTAGCCCAGACTGAAGCTAGTTTTATAGTGCCAGATCACTGAGATACCAAGCCGCAGTGAAGCATGAATACCCCACTCAGACACATTATACTGACACCGAGCCGACCAGTCCTTGTTGTACCCATTAATGCCAAGCGCCAGGCAGGGACCAACAAGTACTATATTTTAACGTGTGTTGGTATGACGCGGTCGGGGATCGAACCCGCAACCTTCCGCTCTCGGCGGACGCTCTAACCACTAAGCACCATCATACCATGTTATTTAAAGAGTTCAAAGTTTTACATATTATTGTGTAATGTGACTGAACTCTCACATATCTCATCAAGACCTTTGAGATCAAACCAACACCAGCACAAGTACACCCAAATTAACTATGGTTAAGAAGTCATGCACGCACAGCATCAGATTCCACTGAATTTGAATCTAATCTTCTAAAGCCCTTTATCACGAAAAAAAACACAATATATCTCATCACATATGTTGATTTGGTTCATATCTTTTGAGATGTTTGCCTACAGAAATATGTTTTGTTAAAAGTTCATGGTGTTTTTATGACAATACAATTTTTTTATAATAGCTAAAAAACCATTTGTATAATCATAAAGAAACCTCTGGTGAAAACAGTAGATTGTTTGATGCCAACTATCATAAATTTGTTTTAAATCACTGTTAAACAGCAATAATACCAGGTGTACAAAAAAGATGACTGTATCCTGCCCTGCCTGAGGCACCCATCTAAAATTAAGAATTGTGTCCAACAGCATTTTTGTTACTTGTGCCTAACTTTGGAGATGTCTTCCACATGTCTACCATTAATCTGTTTTTTAGCTTTGGAAGCTTAGAAAGGCCTTGAATGTGGTTACCCAGATAAAACAGCTTTTGAGCCATACAGCAATTTGTATGTTTGCAGGTGCGTTTCCGGATGCAGCACGAGTACCGCAACACGACCACGGCTCTGCAGACTGAAGACAAGGAGCCCCAAATTGTGTGGCTGGAACACACTGTCTATATGGCGGTCGGCAAGATACAGGGGAAATAGAGGGCCCTCTAGAGTCAGGCGCGCCTCTCACTCATCAGGAGTCATGATGACTGGGACACATCTACAGTATATAACTGAAGCAAATTATTCTCTGTAACAACATGGCCTTGAATGGTTCCAAATGGAACTCAAACAAGGTCTTACTTGTTTCTTGTGTTGCGTGTCACCTTCTAAGAATGCAGGTTGAACAATTGTAAATGGTGTTTAAACTCATACATGTGTTGAGTGATTTCTCAGTTTCACTCAAAACATATATTCAGTCTTTGCACATAAAAGTTCCCAAAGTCATCTTACCACCTTGTCATGTGATGTGCTGGTTCTCACTTAAATGATATGACGACTTGTCATGGGTTGACTGAACATCATTTTGTTTCAGACTTTTGTTTCAAAATATATTATCTAAGTGTCCATATTTCATCTATATATATATGACAATAAGAAAAATAGTCCAATTAACAATAAACACTGACATTTCTGCAAGAGAGTTCTGAGATTTTCACAAGTCATCGGTCGTAAACCCATCAAATTCTGTGTCACTGTCGATCCACATTATTCAAAGAATTCACTGTCATATATATTGTGTCTACTCACGGATCGAAACGGCGTAGTTGACAGAAAATGCATAATATATTTTGCTTCTCTAAATATCATATTTATTGTAGCAACAAACTGGCTTGCTTATTTTACCCCATTCAACAATCACAAACTGATTATCACTGCTCCATGTCAATGCGTGCTTACCACGCTCATGATGGTCCGTGATAACCTTAGTGTTGATTATATATTTTTACATAAAAACTATTACACTATGCTAGGATATATTTTTGGGTTAAATAATAGTATTCAATCAATAGAATTCATCCCGCTATATTATTGTGCATATTATAATTTGTAGCAACTCTGAAATTATGACATTATTGGAGATTGTCAGTTGTTCAGCTTAACTCCATGTGATTATCAACAACCAAAGTGATAATCTGCAGTACAAATGTTTGATGCAACAATACTTAACATAAGCTTGTTTCAGCTATTAGTGTAATCTACATCATATACCAGATTGTATGTAATGCTATGTCAGCCTCGAACAAGTCCTACAAGTGCAATATGTGCTGTCTGTTTCTGTCAATAACATCATCATCAGCCATCTCAGTCATTCCGCATGTTCAGTGTACATCCAACAAGTGAGGGAATATTGGTAGTAGGTTAGTATGTAGGTTACAATAGGTTATATATTGTGCTGGAGCGATTGATTGAATAATCGATCAGTTGATCAATCTCCCTTGCATCAGCAATTATTGATGAGGTCGGAAGACTAATCGATATTCATAAAAAATTAAACTTTGTTTCTTATTGTTATGTTTGTTAATTCAAGACATAAACAACTGATGCAGTTTCCTGATATATAACACTCGCAAACAACATACTCGCATGCGTGTCTCAACAGGAAGTATCCCCAATCATCTTGATCATGGTATTAATCGGTACCTGTGTTGTTTGCACAATGTCATGATTGTGTTCCGTTATTGCCTGCATTGCCAAGTTTTGTGTTGGGTATATGATTACAATCAATTACTGACTGATTACCGAGTCGCGATTATCGATATGCATATTGTGAGCGATAACCCGCACTTGTTATATATGTATTCTACTCAAAACAAGTTCAAGAACATCAATAATAAGAGTGTTGCAGTGCTCTGCAGCCATGACAGATTAAGTATGGTCATATGGGTAAGACTTCCGCCCATATCCCCACTACATTTTTAAGATGAAAAATTTCTTTGAGTGGCATTTTTAGAAGTTGGATATGTCTTTCAGTATGTTAAGATACAATTAAAGAAACATGTTAAAACTCATCCTTATCAGATGAGGAATATATATTCAGGTGATATGATTTGACTGGAATGAAATTTAAGATGGGATATCGGCGGAAGTCTCTCTGTCATATGAAAGAATAAGAAAGGTATGGTATTTTATGGATAACAGCTTCCTTTCTTGTTATTTATCAACTCTAAAATGCCAATCAAACAGATATAGTCCGTTTGGCTCAAAAGCGGACCGATGAATTGCAATCTAACTCGAAAACTACTCAACATATAATACTCAATGAAATGCTGATCATAATCAAAACATCCGACCAACTCTGTGATTTTTTTGCAGAATTTATGCCCTAAAAATAAAGAAGTTGTTAACAAACAATCATTAAAATTTTGACTAAGGTCACTATTTGTTACAATGGAGGACTGCCATGTGTACGTGGCCGGAGCACGTCCACAAGTGCCGACAAAGTTATTGAATCATTTAATTGTGCTGTGCTGTCTCCATCCTTTCTCGCACACCTGGCTGTTCCTTTCTTTGCACCCCTCCCTCGTAACAAATCGTGAGTTGGTATGATGTTTTGACTATGATCAGCGCTTCTCTGAGTATTATATGTTTATTAGTTGTTGAGTTAGATTGCAATTCCTCGGTCCGATTTTGAGCCAAACGGACTATAATATGAAAGAATGTTTGGTTGGTCTTTTGCTTCTTTTGAGAAGTATATATTACTTATTGTCATTTTTAGAGGAAATAGAAGGAATAATTTATTAAATCCCAGCACTACTGAGACACCTGTTCACCTGTTGTTGAGGTGTTGTTAATGAGGCTAACTGGTTATGTTATGTCTTTGTACTCTCAACAGTGACCAATCTTTGAGATATCAAAATGCACATGTAGAAATATCCGTGTTATTACAGTCAACCTTTCTACCCTTAATAGTGATAAATGAAAATATTGCTTCTGAACTGGTACGGGTTATTACAATTTATCATTTGTGCTTACTCCCGCATTCGGGTATTGTTAAAATATCTATAAACTAATTGAAAACAGATACATCTTGAATACTCCCAATGGTAAAGGTTTAATATTCCTCACTTTGTTTCATCCTTTGTTCTATGTTGTAGGGTAGAGCCATGTTGCCTCAAGTCATCAGTATGGTTTTCCCTAGGCTCCGTAGAGTAGTATTTATTTATTTCATTGTATAGAAGTGCATTTATTGGAAATATATCTGTTTCAAAATGTACATTGATAACAGTTTGAAATGGAAGTGGTGAATGGAAAATTCTGTACATTTCTGTGAATATGTTGGCAATGTTCAAATGAGATATTTGCTGCTCCAAGGTGACATCGAGTAGATAAGATGGTCCGTTGAATGCAGTCGTAGTCTTGACAGATGGCATTTATTTCCTTATTGCTCGGTGAACTGGATACTATGGAATTTCACAGACATATGACATGGATCTATTTCCATTCAGGATAGAGACATACTAAAAATGTTAAAATGTTATCAACCAACATCCTGCACACAAGTTTACATCCTTTCCTGAAATGAAAGCTGGGAAAATCTGTGATGAAACTTTCATGATGAAAGCTTATTCCTGTCTTTGTGTTCTGTTAACTGCTGAGGTAAAGAAAGTTGAAATGCTTATTTATCAGGCAGTGTTAAGCTAATGTCACAACATTATCAATTATGGTAAAGAATTTAAATATAGTATTCCAAGAGAACGGGAAGTTTTCTTCCCTTTTTTCATTTGGGATGGTTCTTGTAACGATGTCTAACAAACAGGCTGTACAGTGTTGAATTTGACTATGCTTATTGCATAGAACATTTTGTTACTTCTTGTTATCCCTCTTTTTACAGTTACTTCTACTTGAGTAAGTTAGTGAGTGAGTATGGTTTTACGCCATTCTTAGAGATGTCCAGCTGTATCACAGCAGGGGACTCCAGGAATGGGCTCCCGGAATTTTGAAATCAAACCCAGGCCTTTCATGTGACAAGTGGATACTTGAACCACTAGGCTACCCCACCCCCCTCTTCTACTCAGTGTCAGACATTATTGCTGTATTTCATTGGGACTAAATCAGTTGGAATATGGGATGTTCGAAATAGTATTGCAATAGTTATATCATTTTAGAAATTAGGGGGTGTGGGGATTATATTTTGTCTTGCTATGGTTTATTATTATGGTGTCCAAGGTTAGCAAGTCTAGGTGCAGTTGCATGAGGAAATTGTAGAGGATGTAAGAGAGTAGTTTTTGGGGTGGTGCTGTAGCTGAATGGTTTACATCCACATTTGATCAAACCCATGTCCCTTGTGTCCTCAGCCATAACAATGCTGGACTATTGCTAAAGTTAGGTTAAACCATACTCCCTTCCAAACTCTGACTATTGGCTCAGAAAAAATTGGCCAGATTTTGTCTGGATACCAATATATCTATAACAAAGCATTGCTTCTGAACAAAATATATCGTAAAATGGTAAAATATATTATTATTGCATGAAAAGTAGATGTTTTTTAATTCATGTTTGTTGATTTCCTTGGGTGTCGGTATCAAAGTTTGCTATTGGTACATGTATTTTAATATGTCATTGATATATTTCCTCTGGCCCATGGACGATTTTCAATATGTCGACACCTGAATTGTTACACCTCTAACTGTTCATGTATTAAAATTCACTTTGAGCATGGAAGTATGTACCATTGTCAAAGTTGATCGGTAGAATGCTGACTATTTACATTGTTTATCTCTGCTTAATGCTATGTTTTAAAGTTATAATAAAGCCTTAAAGGATTAATTTGATGTTGTTTTTGATGTTCCATGTCCTTTACAGTATACTGTTGATGTGACAATGAATGAATGGGCTCCAGGAACTGTCATTTCCTCCTGTGTACAGGGAAAAAAAACTTTCAAAATTTCCCACTGAACCACAGGACCAGTGAGTGGACAATAATTAGTGGTCCTGTCTGTACTTCACTGGTTCCAAAATAACAATCATAGATTTACTTAACTATCAATACAAAATTTACTTGCCACCAGGACCACTGCAAACTTATCATTTAGTGGTCCTGATGATTTTTTACTAGCCAGGGACCATGGGACCAACATAAATTTTGCACACTGGTGTATGTTTGTGTGTTGTAAACTACTGCTCTCAGGACCGCCTCCGTGGTGTAGTGGTTAGAGCGTCCGCCCGGAGAGCAGAAGGTCGCAGGTTCGATCCTCGGCCGCGTCATACCAAAAGTCTTTAAAATATGGTACTTGTTGGTCCCTGCCTGACGCTCGGCATTAATGGGTACAAGGACTGGTCGGCTCGGAGTCAGTATAATGTGTCTGAGTGGGGTATTCATGCTTCACTGCGGCATGGTATCTCAGTTGGCTAGCACTATAAAGCCAGCTTCAGTCTGAGCTAGTACAAGCAGCCGCAATATTCCAGCTATATGGCGGTGGTCTGTAAATAATCGAGTCTGGACCAGACAATCCAGTGATCAACAGCACGGAGCATCAATCTGCACAATTGGGAACCGATGACATGTGTCAACCAAGCCAGCGAGCCTGACCACCCAATCCCGTTAGTCACCTCTTACGACAAGCATGGGTTACTGAAGATCAATATTCTAACCCGGACCTTCACGGGTAGACTATGAACCACAGGGGTTCGAATCACTGTTTGGACAATAATTTTTAAAAATAAAAATCTAGACTTTTGCAATCGTGTATTGTTAATATATGTTATGATTAACATATATTTCAAATTTGAACGTGATCGAAGAAGAAATGAATTTTAAAGAAAATTCTACCGCTACACTCGTTATATAAAATACACACTTGTGTATTTTATGTAATGAGTGAAGCAGTAGAATTGTCTAAAAATATTCATTTCCTCACCGATTTCATTCAAATTTGAAATATATGTTAATCATAACATATAAAAACAATATACTAGTGGTGGTCCAATTGATTGAAATAATCGAAGATTGGTCGTAATGACTAAACGACCAAGCAATCGATCACATTTTGTCATAATCGAACACAAACAATTTTGGAACACTTGTTTGCATTGACAATATTTATCACAAGGTTGGTTTTGTTTGTTGCATTTCATAAGCACTTCAAGCTCGTTCCAAGTCATGGTTAAAACTTATCTTGAAGACTCCAGGAAATTGATGTTCCTAACATATTAGTCATCCTTTAAAGACATGAAATTTGCCAAAACAACCGAAAGAACTACATGTTTCTTTCTTTTTTTGTGTGTGCATTAACAAATATAACCAAGACAATTTGATAAATAACGCTAACCAACTATTTTCGATGATTGATCGGTTGTAATGAACCAATCATCAATTATAAGATTTTAACCAATTCCCAACACTACAATATACGATTGCAAAAGTCTAGGTCTTTATTTTAAAAAATTATTGTCCAAACAGTGATTTGAACCCCTGTGCTATGAACATATCTTTAAGGTGAGTTTCGTTACAGATCCCTATGCACCTGATATTTCACGTTGATCATGTACTCCATAATTCCATGGGTAATTTGTATTAGACATGTCTTGGCAACAATGTGTATGGAAATGGACTTATTATTGTGTGGCCAAATGAGATAATTATCTGTTGACTATCAAAAAGGAAAAAATCAGTATTGTCCAGTGGCAGGAGCCTCAGCCTAGAGAGCGATGATCAGTGGTTCTGTGTCTAGTCGTGTCATATAAAAAAACGATAAAAAGGTAGAACTTGTAATACTTGATTCTTGTCATACAGTGACTCAGTGAGGTCAAACTCTCTTTGGGCTAGGTCTGTTAACCAAAGGCAGTGCATCCACATCGCTTTCTAAGTGCAATAATCTCACACGCAATGTGAAACATAACTAATATAACCCCACCTAACAGTGTCTGTGCATCACAAGCTGTGCATTGCAGTCCGTCGTCATGGCTATAGGGGAATCCCCTTCGGAAAGCCCTAACTGCGCCTGTCATTCAGTTTGGCATAGCATTCAACGGAGCGATATCGGGATGAGTCTGAGGCGAGGTAATGTTCGATCTTTACTGATTGTACCTCCTAGTTAAAGTTATTATTTGATCAAGAGCTGAGACTTAATATGTTCTTGCTGAAATTGTATTTATCTGATCTTAATGTATCGGTACACAGCCTCAGAACGATCTAAATCAAAGGTGGTAAGAAGACAAGCAGAGATATTTATAGAACTTACGAAGGATCTGATTGAATATTGGTACGCCAACGTTCAAACAATGGTCTTGGAAACCACTGTGATGTGTTTAAAGTGTAATCTTCAAGATAGACCACAGACTGTTGTAAATGGTCTGTGACTACGGCAATGATACAATTAATTATGTTAATGAGGTGTTTATGCCTTATGTTTTATGTACTGGGAGTTTTATTATACTCGACAAACAAATAATGACGATTGTACAGATACAACTAATATTGCATAAGTATACTGTAAGAATTAAAGAATGTACCCTATCGCGCCAGCAACCAATCACAAACTACTGGGGGAAGTACCTTGATCCCAAAACAATCCCATGTAACTTCCTGCACGTGATATCACGTGATATACTGAATGAAGCTCTATTCACGATATCAGTTCTGACTTTGATGCTGATTTATCACGGATGAGATTTGAATATAAGAATTTCACTTTCGTTGATGTATTTTTTTAATCTGTTTCAATGAATCCTACTTTCGCTTTAAAACGAAAGTAGAATACACTTTGCAATGTACGGCTATCCATATAGGGGGCGGTTGGTTAATCGTCGCTGGGATATTGTTTTAAAAGCTTACAAATCTAAGTGGCTATTCCATATATAGTACTGATTTTAGAAGGGTGTTGTAAAAACACACGATGTAAAGCCAATGTGTAGTCATTGGTTATAAGGACGCTCCTAAAATAGAACCTACGCTATTTACATACCACAGGAGTGTCAACATCACTAATTGGTTAGTCATGTTGGTTAACCCAAAGGAGATCCTAGTACTATGTATGTATGTAGCTAGTAATCACTATAAATATGCCCTTCAAGGGTGTGCGGGGCGGTGAGGTAGCCTAGTGATTAAAGCGTTCGCTCGTCACGCTAAAGACCCAGGTTCGATCCCCCACATGGGTACAATGTGTGAAGCTTATTTCTGGTGTCCCTCGCCGTGGTATTGCTGGAATATTGCTAAAAGCGGCGTAAAACTAAAATCGCTTCACTTCTCAGTTCACTGTAATGTACTGCTAAAGCTCAATAGCATATCTTGTTATAGAAAGTACCGCAGGCAAATATATGTCTAATGTGTCCTAGTTTGACGTGTATTTCTTACACTTGTGTCACTTGAACCTTGCAGTTTGATCACGTAAGCATATGTTATATATGTCACATCAATTACAATATGTCACATGACATGTCCGTCTATCGTTACTACACTTCCCACAAACACCTCTACGGCTGTCCGTATATTTCTCACGCGTTTCCCGTCTCCCGCACGCCTTTGAATACTAATGATAGAAGTTATATTTTTCGGATGTAATGATATTTCTGCCACTGTGGAAATCATATCACGATGTCATAAAAATATAATATCGCCGTCACAAGCTCATAAAAATAGTTTAGCGTGATATTTTGTCAAGCTGTGTATACTTAGCGTGACATTGTATATTCCCCGGCCATTGTATTGTGGAATGTGACAGGAGGTGAGTATTTCACAACCCTGCGCAACTACGTTCATGACTGAGTAACTATCGTTCATACACTGAACTATGACCATCACGTGCGCCAGAATGTGAGTAGAGCTTAACACCGCTTTTTAACAAAATTCGAACAGCACGACTCCATAGGTCACTACAAATGAGCGAGTTTAGTTTTACGCCGCTTTTAGCAATATTCCAGCAATATCACGACAGGGGACACCAGAAATCTGCTTCCCACATTGTACCCAATGGGGGAATCGAACCCGGGTCTTCGGCGTGACGAGCGAACGCTTTAACCGCTAGGCTACCCCACCGCCCCTGGCCAAAACTGGGACACATTGTACCTCATCTGAAAGAAATAAGTTCTTCGTAAGTACGTCATAGGTCAGTCACTATCCAAGCACTGGTGACTCTATCTTATCTGATGACAATTGTTATGTTTGGAACGAACGTCATGGTGACCTTCACTCGTGTGTTTGTAACGTGATCCTATCATATGAAAACTATGATTCCATTTGTTACTTATTTTTATTTGTTCAGCTTGACACAACACTCCTAGTGCTGGGAGTGCCGTATGTCATATCCTTGAGAATAGATACCACTCCTGGGAAATTTGCACTTCTTCTCACTGTATTATGCAGTAAATATAATGAGATACAGTCTATGTCATAACAAAGTTTGTATTCTGTTAAGAAGACCAACTGATTGACCTGTCTTCGTAAACGTTTATTTCATTTTTCCATTTGCTTCATTAGACATTCATTTCATCGCCATTATCTGTAGACTGTATTCAGTCTCCCTTTCGACATACGCATATCCAATAGAGCATTAGGGGCGGTGGGGTAGCCTAGTGGTTGAAGCGTTCGCTCGTCACGCCGAGGAACCGGGTTCGATTCCCCACATGGATACAATGTGTCAAGCCCATTTCTGGTGTGAATGTTGTATTTATGTGTAAAAAAAGACAAAAACAAAACAAATAAATGTTTATATACACTGTACATGTCTTATACAACTCTAAACTTTAAATGTAGAAGCAATTTGAACACCAATGTATCCCTACATGTTATTTTGCATAATTGTACAATTGTACACTGTACAACCAGTGTTATAAATATATGTGCCAAGAGAAATCTTTCTCATTGTAGGATATTTTCTAAGAAGTAACCATATATGTTAACTGAATGTGTAACAGGTAAAAAACAAACATAACCCCATCTCATCTTCTGTTGGCGCCAATTCATGCATCAGAAGGGTTAATAGCCTCCTTTGTAACTGTACCTTTATTCACAGTGCAATGTCTTTGGTATATTTTGTTTAATGCAGTTATACCCAGTCAGTGCTATTTTGTCATATATCTGTATTTGTGGTCCAATATATTTTGAGGTAGAATTTGGATTTGAAAATGAATGTCTAGAATGCTATTAAAAGTATGAAAGAATTTATGATTGAAAAGATGTGACATGTACTTTTTGAAATAATCATAATTAACAAAACCCAAAAAGACAAAACCCGAAAAACTTTCTATTATCACAGTTGATATCTCGTACACATCCTGTCTGTCCGATCAGTCTTCATCGAAGCAGAAATTCATACACTGTACAAAGTAGTGTTGAACTTCCTGCATATGTGTTCCCCCCGGAGGACGTGCGGGTAGTCGTAATACTTTTGTCAGGGGATTATCTGTATCTGTTCAAGTAGGTGTCCGAGAATATTTCTATTTGATTACAAACTTCCCAATTCATGTTAATATAGTGTTAACTTATGTAATAGTTTTGAGGAGAAGCTGTATGTTACTGGAAACAAGACCGATAGGTAGAGGCTTGAAATCCTCGTGACTGACAGGAGACCCAACAGGAATGTTAAAGGTAGTTCTACAGGAAAGTTAAAGGAGATCCTACGGGGAATTTAAAGGGAACCTACAGGGAAGTTAAAGGGAACCTACAGATAAGTTTAAAGAGGTCCAACAGGAAAATTCAAGAATATCATACAACAATCTTAAAGAGAATGCCCCAAGAAAGTTAAAGAAGATCCCACGGGGAAGCTAAAGGGAACCTACAGGAATCTTTAAGGAGGTCCTTCCAGAAAGTGTGAGGAGTTCCTACAGGAATGTCTAAGGAGGTCCAACAGGAATGCTTAAAGAGGTCCTACATGAATATTTAAGGAGGTCCTACAGAAAAGTTTAAGGAGGTCGTACATGAATGTTTAAGGAGGTCCTATCGGAGAGTGTAAGGAATTCCTACAGGAATGTTTAAGGAATTCCTACTTGAATGTTTAAGGAGGTCCTACATGAATGTTTAAGGAGGCGCTACAAGAATGTTTAGAGAGTTTAGGGTCTAAACACATGAAATAGGCTATTTTCCCACGACCTAGACACCACAAATAGACAACATCCCCATAATCTAAGCATGTTTTGAACAAATCGCCTAGCTTTGTGTACCTTCCCAGTAATTATAAAACAAAGTGCATGTCACAGGACGTTAAATCAATCAAACATTCATAAGATGTAAACTGATGTGCAAAAGAAAGTACACAGGTTGTGTTTCTTCCAATAAGATAAAATAACAAAACCTTTTGATGAAATGGAAAATGTATGTTGAAGCACACTGCAATACACGTGTTTTATCAGCAAAATGACATTGTAACAATAAACAGCGATGTAGTGATGACCACTGCAGACTGTTCCTACGATGCTGGAAGGTCAAGGCCATTCCACGCAGCGGTCGGTAGGCCCATACATGCCAGCAGGACGAAGTCGTCTTGTCACTGTGAATCGGCTTACGCGATGACCCAATGATGTGGCTGCTGATGACGTCACCGTCAACATCCAGTTGCGTAGGTGAATAACCCGCAGATAGCGATCCTCTTGGGGTGTCCACTTCTGGGTCGATCACATGTCTGGCCTGTCGTACTGAAACGGTTAAACAGACGAATTATGGTGTGTCTTGTGCAACCCAATGTCCTTGCAATATCGCCGTTGAAAGCACCCATTTGTGTCATTCCTTTGGCCCGTTCTCGTTGCGCCGACGTCAATCTTGGCATTTCCTCGTGAGATTTCTGTCAAGTGATTGTTCAGTCTTCACGACAAACAGGTTTTATACTCTCTGTCAGAAAAGTGCTGGTGCATGGGACAATAATCACAATTTTGCAAAAAGTCGTGCAAAACACGTACAAATGTTTTTGGTTGCATTTTGGCAAATGAAACATGATGGTTGCGTTATATACAATCAATGTTTTTCAATAATTTTATTAGTGAGAACGCATATTTGGGATTGCAACAACAATTACACCTGTGTACTTTCTTTTGCTCGTCAGTTTATGTGTGTCGAGGTGTGTGCCTACAAATGTGAAGGGAGTGTGTGTGTGTGTGCTTGCGTGCGTGTGTGCGCGTGTGTGTGTGTGTGCGTGCGTGCGTGCATGTGCTATGTTTGGAGGTGTAGAGGGGAGGGACGTGGGAGTCTTGTCAGCATTTAGACCCTAAATCCTACACACCTTCAAGACATGAAAAATGTTCATCGCATCGGCATTGTTTGCTTAGGTTTCTGTTGTATGGAATCTTAACACATTTGTAAAGTGCAAGCACTGTACGTTGTGGTTGGAATTCGACCCATCAACTAACACTGGAAATCTGGCTTCCCAATTGCATAGGTTGCTGCAGCATAAACGGGATTTAAATGTCACAAGCTGACGGATATCCGGAGTTATTACGTACTGGTTTGCACAAAGCCCTTAGTTTGTCCTACCCTATTCCAGATACCGCGGTGAAGGGCAACATCGGCATACTTGCGACGTGCAGCAAGACTTCAATGGAATTAGTCGTTTCTTGAAGAAGCTGGCGATTTCTTAGATATACTGACATGTTTTTGTAGCTAATATAACCCCAAAGATGTTTCTACTATAAATATTTGTAGTCTAAAATGAAGGAATGCAGCAAAGAGGGTTTAGGTCATCCTGAAACAGTCAGGCTCAGTATCAGCTCATGTCCCTCAATATTATGGTACAGAGGATTCACCCCCTCCCCCAACGCACCCCAGATAGCAAACGGGAGTTTTCCCATGAAGCACTGTCTGATCAAACCAACCCAGAACGTCTGGTAGGACGTGAAGACCTCACCGCTTTTGCCTTTTACATAACCCACAAAGTCAGAACTACTGTGTACCTGGCAGCAAACCTGGGTATTCTCCCAGTGTCAGGCAAGAGATTTTGAAGTGCCAAACCTAAGGCACCATGAACAATGGGGACAACTTGGCACATGGGATGCATGGGTGACATTTCGTAAGGGAGGTCCTCATATTTGTCACGTTTCTCCCGAATGTTCTCAATCACGTTTGTGTCAAAAGGGACGGAAAATTCACTGACATAAATAATAATTGCTGTTTTCAAAATGGACAAGATCAGGTTTATTAGCTGGATACATATGAGGATGTATAAGGACCTATTCTAAAGAATTCTTTGATTATCAGTTTCCATGACGCGCTCTCAATATTATGGTACAGAGGATGGACCACTTAGACAAAACCACAAGCATGATGAAGACGGTAATATAAGGATATTATCATTGTAACTGCTTTTTGCTGCTGAAAGAGTTTGGTTCCATGTTGCATGGTTCCCCTAGGGAGACACCATGCCAGAATGAAATGATTAAGTATCACTTGCACTGACTGACTGACAGTTTGGTTTTACGCCGCTTTTAGCAATATTCCAGCAATATCACGGCAGGGGACACCAGAAATGGGCTTCACTCATTGTACCCATGTGGGGATTCGAACCCGGGTCTTCGGCGTGACGAGCCAACGCTTTAACCACTAGACTACCCCACCGCCCCGTATCACTTGCAATCACCGAGGGAGTGAACGACCATACTCAATGCCATTAAGTAGCCTCCCTCAAATGACTTACTAATTGTTTGGGGCATACTGTATGTTTTCTTGATGCCTTCGGTTTCTTTAATCTTTGACCTGGGCTAACATCTTGTCTCTGAAATGAACACCTTTTAAACGGTTCCTAAATTATGTTAATAAAATATGATAAAAAAAGTGCCCAGAGACTTTCTTCATTTTCAGAACTGTGGTAATCTAGACGTGCATGGGCTGTGTTAGCAGTTCAGCATGATAGACAAGATTGACTGTAAAGACATACATGTATATATGACTGTATATGACATCTTCTTTCTTTCTTTTTCAGATTTGATGAGAACTATGTTGACCAAGATGAACCTGTAAACACTTAGAAGGTAGAGATCAACTTCTGTGTTGCCGAGTAGTAATGTATATACTTTATCGTGTGTCAGAGGTAAGGTGAGGTGAAATTAGGTTTTACGTCGTGCTTGAGAATATTTCGCTCATATGACGACGTGCATGCGTGTGTATGTGTATGTGCGGCTGCTTGTACTAGCCCAGACTTAAGCTGGTTTTATAGTACTAGCCCACTGAGATACCATGCCGCAGTGAAGCCTGAATACCCCACTCAGACACATTATACTGACTCCGAGCCGACCAGTCCTTGTTGTACCCATTAATGCCGAGCGCCAGGCAGGGACCAACAAGTACTATATTTTAACGTCTTTTGGTATGACGCGGTCGAGGATCGAACCCGCGACCTTCCGCTCTCCGGGCGGACGCTCTAACCACTACACCACGGAGGCGGTCATCGTGTGTCAGAACCTTCCATGTAACCATGTACTGTTGAACGGAGCTTGGCATTTCTTTGACCCCTCTTTCTCTGGAATTTTCTTTGTTTGTTCTTTTGTTTTTTGGGAGTTTTTTAGTTCTTGGGTTTCTTGTTCTATGTAGAAGATGATAAATTCGTGTAAATGTAATCTAATTGGTTTAGCGTTAGTTTTATTATCACGCGATTTATTATCATGTTCGATTTTGAAATAGATACATTGTGAGAATACAAATGATGATGTCCACTGCCACAAAATTGCAGGAATATGCTGAAAGCGTGGTCGGTCGCTGGATACACACTGTGTATTGTTTTCCAGGACATGCCTGATCGGACCTTCCAAGCAACAATTCCTGCGACCGTGGAGGCATCCAAATAACACCGGCGGTGGTAAGTGTCTTTATTATCAACCAAGAAACGTAGCAGGCGGAATTTGTCCAATGAATGCCGTAAAACTAAAATCAAGAGTGAGTGAGTTCGGTTTTACGCCGCTTTTAGCAATATTAAAGCAATATCACGGCGGGGGACACCAGGAATGGGCTCCACACATTGTACACATGTGGGGAATTTCACAGTCAGTAATTACAAACCCATGGTCAATGTGGCTCCCAAACTGGAGCTGAGCTTCACAGAGCAACAGGTGTTAGAGTAAGTGGACAGAGTAATCGACGACGTAGTTCTACCCTGCATGGAACGTGTTCCCCTTTCGACGGACCTTCACATTACTGGTAGACGTCGTTGGTTTTGAGAGCGCTAACGCTGGACCAATCGTCGTTGGACAAACATTATGACTTCGGATGAAACATTGTTAACTCCGTACTTCCTTAACATGCGCGATCGAGTGCGGCGTAGGCGGAATTCGCATTTTTATGCCGTTAAGGTCGGACAGAACGATCGTTTATTGGGTGTCTCAGTAATGGTGTGTGATGGAATCGCTGTGACTGGCAGGACATGTTTACAAATTATCCACCAGGCAGCACTTCCATGACAACATCCTGGTGGCACACGTGGTGCCATTTGCGCGCCGACGTGGACGTGTTGGATTTTTATATACTTCAGGATCACAACGCAAAATCTCAGGGCTCGTATCGTTACTGAGTACTTTAAATAGAACATAACCAGCTTACGATGGCCAGCACTCAGTCCAGATCCGGGTTAGAATTGATCTTCAGTAATCCATGCTTGTCGTAAAAGGCGAATAACGGGATCAGGTGGTCAGGCTCGCTGACTTGGTTGACATATGTCATCGTATCCCAATTGCGTAGATCGATGCTCATACTGTTGATCACTGGATTGTCTGGTCAGGACTCGATTATTTGCAGACCGCCGCAATGTAGCTGGAATATTGCTGAGTGCGGCATTCAACAACAACCTAACCAACCAACTTGTCACCCATTGAACATGTCTGGGATATCCTTTGCCATCACAAACCAACAACCACTCTCAACTTTGCGCTGGGATGGAATGAACCATTTTGACATTGGACGTTTGATTAAGAGTATGCTTCGTCGAAGCTGGAATTGTCTCAAGAACAACCCGTGAAGGTCCGGGTTAGAATGAACCTTCAGTAACCCATGCTTGTCGTAAGAGGCGACTAACGGGATCAGGCTCGCTGGCTTGGTTGACATATGTCATCTGTTCCCAATTGCGCAGATCGATGCTCATGCTGCTGATCACTGGATTGTCTGGTCCAGACTCGATTATTTACAGACCGCCGCCATATAGCTGGAATATTGCTGAGTGCGGCGTAAAACTAAACTCACTCACTCACTCACTCAAAAAACAGTCGCGGACCCACGCAATATTAATGAGATTGACTTGGGGGAGGTGTCGATTGTGCTTAGTGATGTCCATGAGACAGACCAGAACACCGTGGACGTAGGGTGGTGTGTGAATCTTGATTTGTAGGTTCAAACCCGTACTTGTGGTTTACTGAGAGGGTAGACGTCTACCACCAGCCTTACCTTTCTCCAGGTCATGCCAACACGCCGTGATGTTACTGGAATATGAATACTGATGTGTTGTGTGATCTAGTAACCGACCATACACGTATCAACGTAATGAGGTTGATTCTAGACAAACATTAAGCCACTAAATCAACACGGACTTACGCCATCGAGAACCTATAACTGTATTTTGTACTGTATTTATTATTAACAACACAGACTGTATATTGAAATATTACTCGTTCAGCTTAGGGCCAAAGCGAAAGCTAAACCAAGATTGGAGTCGGTCATGCTATACCATGTACAAATGTATTCAATACATATTATATGGTAGGTTATACTGTACTTATAATGTATCTTCAGTTATCGCAAAGATACCATAGCAAATTATATATCCATGAAAATAGCATGATGAATTCTGTAAAATGTTTGTCCGAAATGACCACAGAGCGGGGGAAATGGTTTCCATGAATAAATTGTGACGTGTATATTTGTCTTAAAATTTGTAACGGCAGATCGTTAAACGGATATACATAGGGATATGAATATATACACAATATACGTGGAGGCATAGATAGATACAGGATATATGTGTAATAGGTAAATCAGGATCAGAAATGAATCATAACACTTGAATATCTTACAGCTGCACCTCATTATGCAAGATCCGTACAAGATCCGTTTGAAGAATGTTTTCCGAACTTAGAGGAAACTAGGGAAACAGTTACATTCACAGATAACCGGCATTGTACACAGGACAATGTATATTATTTATAAATCCATGTTTATAGAATCCCGGTTAGAATTTGTCCTCAGTCACCCAATGGGCACACTTTTCGTTAGAGGCGACTGACGGGATCGGGTGGTCAGGCTCATTGACACATGTCATCGTATGACTTCTTTGATTGGCATTCTTGAAGTTGAGGAGATGAAGAGTGAGGACAATTTTTTTCTGGATATACAACTTCTTTATTCTGTATTAGCCTATACAGAATAAAGAAGTTGTATATCCAGAAAACATTGTCCTCATTCTCCATGTCATCGTATCCCAATTTGGTAGATCGATACTCATGCTGTTGAGCACTGGATTGTCTGGTCCAGCCTTGATTATTTACACACTGCCGCCATATAGCTGGGATATTGCTGAGTGCGGCGTTAAACAACAAACCAATGAAACCATGTTTATAGCACTGGTTCCGGAGTTCTTGTCCTACAATATTCTTGACTTATGTCAAAATGCCGTTCTTACTCTGAAGTTGTTGGACTAACTAAGCTGCTCCTGTTCCTTGATGAGGACGTCATGTATTGTTTAACTCATTCAGATTTACTGTGGTGATATTTAGGTGAAACAGTTAGGGCATTTGTATGGTTTACAGAAAACATATAGGGTTATTTGGGCTCATAATTGAAACACTGTGTAAAGTCAACCTTTGTGGATAATGTTTGTTACTTGTTTCACATTTGATAGTGTTTTCCCTCAAGGGAGCTTGGATAACCTAATGGTTAAAGAGTCCACACATGAGCAAAATCTGCTATCTGTTGTTCCCTTCCATGATATTGCTTTGATATTTCTTAAAGCGTCCTAAAACCAAACTCACTCACTCACTTTTGCCTCTATATTTCTGGAGAAAATAGTTGAGTATCAGTGGTGACAACATCGTTATACGTCGCGTTTTTATATCGCTTTTAGCCCCGTTCCAAAAAGCAATCTTACCCACTGAGCATTTGTTTCAACGATACAATGATTGGCATCGTAAGTATCGCTGTATGCAACTGGGATACGATGTCATGAGTCAACCAAGTCAGAGAGCCCCACCACCCTCTAATGACAAGCATGGGTTGCTGAAGACCAATTCTAACCCGACACTTCACGGGTTCCTTACTAAATAAGGAAGGCTTAGAACTAAATTTCAACTATATGTAACGACGGAAGCGGTCGGGTGTTAAATTCACTTACACAAAATTAAGTGGGTTTACTACACGGTGATACCAAAATCCTCGTTACATTCAGCTGTGGCCAGGTATCTGTTTCCTGGATCCTGTGGGAAGTGAACCGTGTGTGACCGTAATATGAGCCATTTCGCATTGGCGTCTAACTCCTTGAGAACAAGTGTTGTGACTGGGTGGGGAATCCCGCAACGGCTGTTTGGAGATTCAAAAATTAAACACAATAGCAGTGACGACTTTTTTCTCTTTAGGCAATTATACAGCTCCAGTTGAGACTAGTTAGATGCGGTTAACCCATGTAAATTTTCATACCCAACTGAATATGAATTATGCTGGAGAAGAGTCAAATGCATGGCAGAGAGTCCAATCCAGTTCATATGATCACTTAATGAAGGATTTTATTGACAGTTCCAATACGAAGCCTCCAAAGATGGTACGAAGTCTATGCTTTCCATGTGTCAGTGAGACATATTTATCAGGATTCTCTTACTGAATAGCATCACGTTGTTAAGATGTTGTTGATACAGATGAGGTGTAGTTCAGTCTGTAGAGATATGAGATCAATGAACGGCCATTGGACTGTAAATATTGAGTACCTTGACAACTCCAATAAGCATGGAACTAGTAACCTTCTAACCCAGCTTGGGTTATCCGGGGTAATAATGATCAGATTGTACGCTTTGAGCAGAATATCTAGCCTGGAAAAAGCGCGTTATAAATATTCTCATTGTTATTAAACCATATCCATCTTCACAAAACAATAGCGCAGTCTGAGTTAAGATGCGGACGACTATAATATGATCTATGAAGCTATAATTATCATCTACGTATAGATGTAAGCACCATATATGTAGATACAAGTATCATCTACCTACATGTAGGTACCTGCTTCATAGATGGTAAAGGGTGTAAGATATAATTATCATCTACGTATAGATGTAAGCACCATATATGTAGATACAAGTATCTTCTACTCTACCTACATGTAGGTACCTGCTTCATAGATGGTAAAGGGTGTAAGATATAATTATCATCTACGTATAGATGTAAGCACCATATATGTAGATACAAGTATCTTCTACTCTACCTACATGTAGGTACCTGCTTCATAGATGGTAAAGGGTGTAAGATATAATTATCATCTACGTATAGATGTAAGCACCATATATGTAGATACAAGTATCTTCTACTCTACCTACATGTAGGAGCTTCCATAGGTCAGAAATTGATATCGGGACATGTTTTGGGGTGGTATTGGTATTAAATAAGGCTTTGGTTTCGGTTGAAATAATGTTTCTTTGTGAAATAAATCTTGTACTTTATGTTTTTGCACAAATACATTTTCTAAAACTTACAATTGCATCGAAATAAACGTTTAAAGAAAAGAGTAAATCATGATCAGATGCATATGAGTAGTGGTGTAAACTTCTTGTACTAGTAGTGTCACCTGTCAAGTTTATATCTCGTCATCAAGTAATCAGCGCTAACTTACTGTGT